ACCTAGTGGAGCAGTTGAAACCAAGCAATATGATTCGCTGAAGAAGTTGGTTGGAGCAGTGCAGACTTCGGCCCCCAAAGTCTTTCAGCGATATCCCAGACCAGATTTCCGACTCATAGATCAATATTCGAAATTCGATCCGAAGTTTTAGTGTGTGATTTTCAAATTTATGACTTGCAAAATGTCTCTATTAATATGAAAACGAACACTTATTATCCGACAGAGGCATCCCTCATTCCACCATCCAACCCGTGTAGGTGCCGCACACCTCCCTGCCGGTGTGATCGCGTGATTGCGCGGGCGGTGGCGCAAGACATCTTGGTGGCACCCATCGCAAGTGCTGAAGTGGCGGCTTTAGCACTTTGCGTTTGCGATGGGTGCTACCAAGACCTCTTGCGCCACAGCGTTGGCCCACCAGAGCCACCACGACATTGCGACCCAACCGAGCGCACAACACAATGATAGCTGTAAGGGGAGAACCACATTGGACATAGTCGGAGTGCACTCAACAGTGCACAAGTCTCTGGAACAGCATCACACAAAGCTCTACTCCAGAGTACAAAATTCAAAGTTCAAAATTGTAACCTCTTCTGGGTAGTACTGTACTAGTATACAAAAGGTACTATTAATAGTAGTACAGTACCTGGTTACTGTACTACAGTCATCCCCCGATTTTTGCAGCCCCTACCAAATATAGTTTTACGGAGGTACTTATATGCAAGGGTTATATGAAGTCTTGGAGGAGTATACCTTCACACTAAATAAGGATATTAATCACATTCGATGTGCAAAACCTAAACGTAATCATCCGAATACCCTACACGTTTTGTGAAATGTGGTCGCACAATTTCTCAAAGCAAGTACACTCTAATTCTTACAGTAGGAACATCGAACAACGTCCTAGCTTGTTATCCAGTGCTCGAATTTATTCCGACAGCCATGTCATCGTGTATGTAGAGTAACCACTTTGCAAGGATCCGCATGGCAAATGGATAACGCTCGTGATATTGTGAAATGACTTGGTGCTGGTACCGCATTTGAGTTCCCAGTATTAATTTTTCAATATCCTGTTAAATTAAATATTCGATGGGATTACACAGGATATTCGTTTATACCAGGCTGCAAAAATCGGGGGATGACTGTACTACTGTACTGTACTTAGTAGTATGTACTGTACTGGTACAGTATTACTACGTAGTAGTACTTTACTTTTGTCTTTTTGGGGACTTCAAAAACGAAGTCGGGATATCATGCGACAGGGTTCGTACGTTTGCAACGAGGATGTACTACTGTCCGTTTGGGCGAGTCGAATGCAAAGAAATTTTCCATTGGGCCGATTTTAACGCAGTTTTTTTAATCCCTTCGTCTTCGATCACATATTCTGCTTGCAGAAGCTTGAAGGCCCAACTACAAAACTGTGCTCTGCGTTCGCAAGCAACGATTCCAGCGATGAAACGTAGTATTTTAATGAAGTAGACTATTTAAATAGTTAGATTTGCTCAATAATTTTAATAATTTATACCTCTGATATAGTAATATTATAGATTATTTAACTTTTATTTTATTTTAAGACTCAAGTATAGTATACTTCGATGTACCTGTTTTAAAAATGCGTTTGCATTAAGTACGTTCCATTAGGTGCTGAAACTTCATTTCAAACCTGGTGGAGTTGTATTCATTTCCAGGCAAAATAAACCCCCTCACGGACTGCACGTTAAACTCCTGAATTCAAATATACCTTTGGATCGACGAAATACCTCCTAGGGTATAAGTTATCGGAGAAACCATTCTTGCATTCCTTCCGCCCAAACCGACAGTAGCATTAATACATATTAATAACACAACACGTTACTCTACAATTCCTTCGGTACAGTAGTTGACTGTGAGTACTACTAGTAGTAGTCATGCACGTGTACTGCTGCTGACCACTCTTGAGAGGTTGATAGGGTTCTACATGTCAAACACGTGGATATACAACACATGGCGGCGCTGGGACTAGTATCTACTACGCCAGAGCGGTGGATTCCTTGGTCAACGACGCAGCATGGGGCGAGTCGGCGCCCACATACCCTTGGCGTTCACCTTGGTGGATGACGCTCAATGGCTTAATGTGATGGCGGGCCACTCCAGCAAACCACGCCGCGCCCAGCACAAAGTATAAGATAGCAATCACAATCGACACCAAAAAGTCACTGCTCCCGGCGCCTTGGTACACGATCGTAAACAGGGCGTACGCGACAAGGCCCAAGCACAACAGCGCGCCGGGCATGCCAAACGGCGATCGGTAGGGCCGGGCGAGGTCGGGTTCGCGCACGCGGAGTGCCAGGAACGACACCAGCTGGAACGCGTACGAGATGAGCGCGCCGAGCAGCGCCAAGTTGATCAGCACTGCGCCGAGGCGGATGAATCCGATCGAGTAGTACATGACGATGACCGTGACGAGGCCGATGCTAGTCCCTGCGAGGATGCCCGCCGTGGGGGTCTGTCGGATGGGGTGGACGTTGGCGAGGATGGCGGGGAGGAAGCCGTCGCGTGCCATGGCCATCACGAGACGCCCCATGCAGTAAATGAACGAGTGAAAGCTCGCGAGCAGTCCGACGATGAGTAGCCACGAGAATCCGGATGTGACGCTGTTATCCCCAAACACTGTTTTGTAGCCGTCGAGAAGCGGCGACGCGGACTCAAAGATGGCCGACGCCCCAGGCGAGATGGTCGTGTTGAAGAACGCGGTGGAAAAGGCGAGGACGAACAAAGTCACGATGGAAGAGATGAGCCCCCGGGGCATGTTGACTTGGGGGTCGATCGTGTCTTCCACCGCGAGGGGAAGCTCTTCGATGCCCAAGAAGAACCACATCGAAAACGAGAACCCGTTCACGAGCCCCGACGCGCCATCCTTCCACTCCCAGTCTTGGTCCCGTACCCACAACCCATAGTCGACGTATGAGATTGCGCCAATGTAAAACACAATCAAGATCACAACGCTTAGCACAGTCGCGGCCACTTGCACGCGGAACGACAGCGCCACGCCGATCAAGTTGAGCACTGTAAACAGCACGTAAAAGACGACCCACCAAATCGGACCGTGGCCTTCCTCCAGCTTGAGTAGCTGGTTCATGTACGCGCCAATGCCCACGGCGATCACGGCGACGGTGACCACGACCTTGAGCACCTCGGCCAGCCCTGCAAAGTAGGCGCTGGTCGAGCCCAACGCGCGGTGGGCAAACGCATACGGACCCCCGCCACATGGGACCGACGTCGACAGCTCGGCAATGGAGAACGACAGCAGGATGTACAGCACTGATGCAAGCACGAGGTTCACCACAAGCCCGAGGAAACCCGCCGACAAGGCGGTCTGCCACCCGAAAAAGTCACCAGAGATCACCGCGCCGACGCCAAGCGCCCAGAGGTGTGGCGCACGGGCGTACCGGTTGTCTTGCACGGTGTCGGCCATTTTGTCAGGTCGATAGATATGTGAAAATGGAGAACAATCGATGACTTTGTTCGACGGTGTTCAAGTTCAACACATGGCATCACGTGGTGATGCTTGGGATGGGGTGAGCATGCAAATATGTACAAAATATGCAGCCTGTCATCAATTGAACTTGGATTTGGTAAGAATGGAAAATGTGATTTTAGTATCTCACATAGATATCGAAATGATTGTGCGGTGCGAGAATGTGAACAACTTGCAATTTGTATACAACGACCTGAGAGAATTGTTCACCACCAAAACACGACCTCGGAAGTATCACATTGGCATAGAAATGCATGCGTTTTGACAGCTTACATTTAGAGTAATGTCGGAGACTAAGAAGGCAATTTGAAGTTGTGAGAATCTCAACCCGCAACTTCAAATTGAGGTCTCAAAAGTTCTCTACCGCAAAATGCGACGTGCTGATCGCGATAGAACGATGGCCCTTTCTACGATAAGACGTCCTTGCGAGAGAAACGAAGCGCTTTGTTCTTACCCCACCGATTTGTGTTATTGCGGCGCGAGGGAACGACGACTGGATGGTGCCGCCATCTCCACGCCATGGCCGCTACTATGTATCCCTCAACCTGAAACGTTGCCATCAAGCCTGAGCCTCGGATGCAAGTCACGAAGGTTCCACTTAAGCGTAGTGTGTTGTTTCGCAGTGCCTTAAGGCAATCGTGTCGCGCCTTGCAAGCCGTGGTGGCTACATCGTTTACGACTATTTATGTACACATTGATTGGCCTTGTCCAAGCCATACGCGTCGGAGACATGTCCGTCATAAGCGCACGCTGCATTAAAGCACACCTAGTGACGTCGGCGGTTGCCCACCAATTCCACTGGCAGTGCTAGCAGTGCACACGCTCTAGCATGACATAACATTGAATGGTTGGTCATATTGCAGTACATAGTGTTGTCCACAACGACGTCGTCCGTGGTCAGCAGCGGCGTCAGCGCCTCGGGCACCGCGGCAATCGGGTTAGACGACACGTCGAGAACGCCTTGGGAATGCGCGAGGAGCCACGGGTCGATGGTCAACCCGTTGGTGGCCAAATCCAGCAGCCGAAACGGGTTCGGCATGCGCTGAAACGTTGTCCACTGCGCCGCACTCCACCGCCCCAAAGGTCCGCTTCGAAAGGACAGATCGATAAAGTCGGTCAAGGCCACGAACGCTTCCATGTCCACTGACTCGGTGGAATTGACGACAAACCACTGCACCAAGCACGTCCACTCGGCGTCCTGTAGCGTGTTGATCGGGTTCGACTCAAGGTACATGGCGCGCAGTGACGGGGGGAGGCCAGCGGTGCGCAACACGCCAGTTGGTGACAGGCCAAACGGCATATTGCACCTTGTGATTTCAATGGGAAACACGGTCGACCTGACTTGATGTACAGGAAGGGGAGAAACGTAGACAGGGCAGAGCTGAACAATGTATTCATCCAGATCGAACGACCCAAGGCGAAACCCAAGAGTCACGAGGAGACCAACCAGTGCACGCACGATCACAACGCCCCCAAATAGTGTGACAAACCCTTGGTCGGGCACGGTGTTGGACACTCGCATGGCTTGGTACGACTGGCCTGCAATTGCGACGACGTTGAACCGGGTCCCCATACTGTCGTCAAGGTGGCGAACCCGTGTGGTTGGGTGGAAGAGGGGATCCCTTGAGGGGAAGCAGGGTGGCGACGTTGATGCGGCTCGTTTGACAGGTGCTAACGCTGGCCCGGGCGTGACGACTACACGGGGACTGCAACGACATGTTAACGAAACCAACAAGTCAGCATGCATTGCGGTGAGCTGTATGCAGCAAAAGGTGGTCGCGATGGGGGCGTACGCTTGGAGAATCTCCAAGTCCAAGGGGGGCAAAGTCACTTACAACAACTCACACACAACGTGCTCTGTGATGGCAAACAGCTTGACGCTGTACTCGAGCCATTGCGGAACGAGCACGACCAGATGCCGAGCATGTTGCCGGCGCTGAGTTGCAGAGACCTCTGAAGGTCGCCTTCTCTGACTGCCGTTACAGTCCCCAATATGTAACTGCAAATAGCCTAACATAGAATGTCAGTTTCAGGTGCACTCCAATTGGCCAATGGAATAGCTTGATTTTTGATAAGCCAATCGAATCATCAAAACTGAAGCAAAATCAGTACCCCCATATAAACCGTTACTAAAAATAGGGGACAACCATATTCTTCGAATTACTTTGAAACCAAATTTTCGAAATATTAATTGGGCAAGACTTGGGATGTGATCCAGACTCGCCCTTATTTAATTACTCAGGGGCTTTGGTGCTTTTGGCCACCCGTGGAATGGAGGGCAGATATAACAACCGCTTGAAGCTGCCGCCCCTGGAATAGTACCGTTAAGTGACGCATTGGTCCTCTATGCCTGAATCTCACCCACCGCGCTTCATTTCTCGGGGTTCTTCGCCGTGAACTCGAAGCGCCAGTGGCACCTATTCCTTCTGCCGAAGTCATCATGTGGCCGTGAAATTTTGTTTTTGTGACATCTTGAGCCAATGATTGCATTGTATTTTTAAGATTAGCCAATCATAATCAAGTAAAGTGTCCACACTAATATGGAGCAAATGCACTATGCATATGTCCACAGTGATTTGGAACAAAGGAAGTACGTTTGCGCAAGACTGCATCATCGGCACATACAGTACTGTACCTTTCGTTGTTACTATTAATAGTAGCCCGTACACGTGTAGGATGCACACAGAAAACATGCTCTTGTCAACTCCACCATCAGGTCGAAACTCGCCTTCGTTCGTTACTATAGTATTTGGATAACATATTATTTCAGTAATATGAAGAAGTTCTTTTTTATATACAGTATTGTCGATTCTCTTCAATTTTCCCATTTCTTCATGGTTCATAAAAATCGAGCCGATACATCTGATTGGCTAATATCCACTTCGCCCTTTCCCGTAGAAAGTCGAATAGGATTGTAGCCAATCATCGACAAGTAATTTCGGATGACCAATGGGAGAGATTATTGGTGCCCGGTTCGGTCGGCGAGATTCGATTGTCAACGGGGTCCGGAAATTCGTACCGAATCTCCAATAATGTTAGCCTTATACTTCAATTAGGGCCTGGTCGCGGAGGAATCGGTCATGTCAATTCTATACTACTATATATATATATATATAACGTTATATATATACAATGGATATATTTGACGGTGCTTAAGGTGCTTGAACATCAAACAATGACGGGAGACTCTTCTTGTTGACTTTTCCCATGGCGTTCTTGGGGATGGCGTCGACGACATGAAATATCCGCGGAATTTTGTACTTGGCCAAATTCAACTTGAGAAACTCGACCAACGGCGGCTCCAATTGTTCAATCCCTACACCGTAGATATATATATATATATATATATATATATGGATATACATATCGTTAGTGGTACCTGAAGTGCCAGCATCGAGTCGCACGACCGACGCGACGATCTGCCCCCACGTGTCGTCGGGGACGCCATACACGGCGCATTCGCGCACTTGGGGGTGCTCCAAGATGACGCGCTCGATCTCAAGTGCCGACACTTTGTATCCGGCACTCTACACCAAGATCGTCAGTGCGATGAGCTCATTCTATATAGACCGACCTTTAAAATGTCCACGCTGGCACGACCCAAAATGCGGTAGCTGGCAAACGTCGCATTGTATTCTGCCACGTCACCCGTTTTGAACCACCCGTCGGTCGTCCACTCGCTTTGAGTTTCGTCGGGGCGGTTCCAGTACGCTTTGAACAAGGTCGGTCCGCGCACTTGAAGTTCGCCGTCCTGCGGGATCATCATCCGTTTAGTGCCATCACGAGTCAAGTGCACGAACCTGGACAACGCGCGCTTGGACACTTGGGAACGGCTGGCCCACATACCCCACATGGCGCGTCCCCACAAGGGGATTGCCCAGTGCCATGCCGCACTCGGTCATGCCATATCTACCCCGCCCCAACACAACATATTTTTCAGTTTCAGACAAATTCATCGAAATATTATATATATATATATACCGTTCCAGCAACGACGTGCCTGTCAATGCTTCCCACCGCGTCAATATAGAGATGGGACACGCCATGGATCCACTGATGGCCACTCGTAGCCGCTTGGCGCCGGCGACGGCAACTTTTTGCGCTTCTGGCTCCATCTTCGCGAACGCTTCGAGCAGGAGCATGTATATGCTTGGCACGGCCATGAGCACCGACACGGACGGCAGCGCTGTGTCTCGCGACAGCGCCGCCCAAATGGCATCCGCCGACGCAGAAGCCAGGCACTCGACGTGCGCGCCGGCAAAGAGCGGCGCGTTCAGGTTGTTGAGGATGCCGTGTGTGTGATGCAACGGAAGGAAGTGTAGTACGCGGTCGCACGGACCAAGAGCCCAAGCCGTGGTCAGGTCTGTCATTTGAGCCATCAAGCTCGAATGCGTGGACAACACGCCTTTGGGGAAGCCCGTCGTGCCGCTCGTGTACATGAGCATGGCGTCGTGGTCCGTGGTCTTTGTGAGCCACGGAGTCATGTCGGTCACGCTGGTGTTCCAGATCGCTGCAGTTGTGTCCAAGTCGATCACGGCGACGGCGGTGGAGATGCGTTCCAACAGCGTTTGGTCCGACGGCCGGCACAGCACGAGCGACGTGCACGAGTCTTGGAGGATGTAGCTGCGCTCTCGAAGGGTGTTGTGGGGAGACAGCGGCACGGCGATGTGGTTGGCGAGCCAAATGGCCCACTGGCAGCGCAGGTAGTCGAGATTGCGGTGGGCAAAGAACGCAATCGACGCGCCTGGCGTGTCGGGCAAGAACTGTGCGATGGCGGCCGCTTGGTGGAGCAGGTCCTTGCATGAGATCGTCTCGACGTCATCGGATCCCTTTCTGGTCGAAGGTGCCGTGACAGCGCCGCCGGCTGTGTACACATTGGCAAGGAGGAACGGCGAAGGAGTCGTCATATTGTGAAATGTCATCCACGGCGACATCCTTGTGGCAAAAGATCTGCAAAATCAGATCGGACATATCTGTACCCATCCGACTGGGAAGGATTTAAATACCCGGTGTTTGATTCAAATCCCCGGTTCAAAACCTCCCAAAATGCATAAATAACCGCTTAGAGTTTATAGCCCAAACATCTGCATTGTGAATGGTAAATAACCTCCAAGATTTTATAGCCCAAACATCAGGGATGTCGAAGTCCAAGGCCAGCGCGAAGTCGGCGGCGGCTACAGCGCCGACTGCGGAAAAGTCCATCATCGCAGAACTATGGTCCCAATACAACAAGCATTCGACGCGCAAGATGAAGCTCATCGATGGCTTCCTCGCGTACGTCTTGGCAACAGGGGTGCTCCAGTTTGTGTACTGCGTCGGGTTCGGCACATTTCCGTTCAACTCGTTCTTGTCAGGGTTCCTGTCCACCGTGGGGGTGTTTGTGTTCGCCGTGTCGCTGCGCATGCAAATCAACCCGCAGAACGCGAGCGCCTTTGCCGCCAACCCACGGACTCCCGAACGAGCTTTCGCCGACTTCCTTTTCTGCACCCTCGTCTTGTTCCTCGCGGTGGTCAACTTTATGGGGTGACGACCACCAAAGACAAGACCCTCTTGTATGTTTGTTAATGCAATGGCATCAAACGTGTATTGCATGCAGTGTACTCCGCGGACCTTGAGGTCCAAGCGACAAAAGCTAAAGTACCCCTAAGGTAAAGTCGTGAAAAATACTTCTAGATAAAAAAACTAATTTAAAAAACGAGTCAGTACTAATTTTAAAACATTTGCTACTGGTATACTACTATTCGTATTGTCGAACCTTTTTTCATTCAAGTATTTTGATCCAATATTAAAATACTAGTATTGGTGAACACAAAATGAACTGATATTTATAACGACAGTTATTTAATAGTCATGAAATGTTGAAAACCTGTAACACCCTACCGAATGTTTGCTTCTCCAGGAGCTCATGACGTGGCAGTCCACGCCCTAACTTCAACGAGGATACGCCGTTGATGGACCACAGTGTCACCCCTTCGTAGGTTCTCATGCAACAACGCAGGCAGGTATGCCACTGGCAATGGACCTCATCCCCTCGTAGTATTTCTGAGGTCCTACTAGGTAATTTGCAGGACGCCTTGTCACAGTTTTGAGCCTGCGACAGTGCAGCAAGCACACAACCTCGTCAACTGTTGCTGGTTGTCCTGGCCTGTCAAAACCCAAGATCAACGGGCGTGTCCAAGAGACCCGACCGGGGGCCATCACATTCAGTAGTAGTACTTGCCGACCACTCCATCATTGTTGCAACCTCGTCGTCGACTTTCCAACTCAACTGGCATGGCGCTCGCACCTCTCGCCGCCGTTGACGTCGTCCCGAGCTTCGTGCAGAGCTTGCACTCAATGCTCCAACTCGAAGACGCAACCATTATCCGGTGGACCCCCGACGGCCATGCATTTGAGATCCTGGACCAACGCTTGCTCGCCGCACGCATTCTGCACCGGTACTTTCGCCATACCAAGTACGCATCGTTCCAGCGCCAGCTCAATTACTTTGGGTTTCGCAAGTGGCCCAAGCAAAAGGCGGCGATATGTACGTACAGCCAGCTCCACTTTTCAAGGGACAACCCCGCGGACCTCCACCGCATCAAGCGACGGGTCAAAGCTGGAGCGAACGAGCCCATACACACGGCGACGGCCGCCGTCGACGACGACACACGGATCCCCGTTTCCGTGAGCACATCGACACAAGGCACCCTCGCGACATGCATTCCCCTGCTCAAGCATATCTCGACAATGGCGAGTTCACACACCATGATGCCTGAACCTGATGGAATGAGCAGTTCTGGGCACGGCCTTGTCAACGCCGAACCACTACAGGAACATGCAAGTCCCCAGATGTTGCCTCTGTCAAGTCCATGCATGGACGAAGCGCCCATGTCGTGGCATAGCGCGTTGTGGAGCTCCACATGGCTATCGGACTTTGACCCTCAAGAAGTCGAGCGAGGAATGGGCGACGTTCGTCTGTGGCTGGACAGTTTATAACAACATTATAGCACAACATCATTCTACTTCAACGTCAAACGCGGTTGGGTTATGGGCTGTCATTCGATCCGTTCACAGTACTACTAGTACTACTAGTACTACTCAACACTGCCACCTCGCCTTTTGAGTGGTCTTCGATACTACGTTTGCCAGCCTCGGTTACACTAGTTTGAAGCAACTGCGCGGCTTGGTCCAGGAGCGCCACGTCCGAATCGGAATCGGCGCCGTTACCCGCTTCCGCGTGGGCTTCTTCCGACTTGGGCAAAAACAATAGGGTTTCCTCGGGGCAAATGGCTCGGAAAATCGCGCGCGCGTCGGCCACACACGTCGCCAACGTCGTGTCCAATAGGGGAGGCGAAGGACACACATGTACATTGGCCAGACTACGAGTAGTCGTTGGACTAGTAATACTACTTGGGATGGTGAACACAGCGCTCCACACGGGCGTGACCGCATTGGCAGGATACAAACAGGCGTAGATCGCGTGCATGTACGACACCAAGTCCTCCGCAGGGGTATCAAGAGGCGCGACCGTTGTCACGTGAATCTATATGGGGAATAATATATCATCAGGTGTTTGCTCTCTCAATCGAATGACCAGAAGAACCCAATCGACAGACAAGCGATTGACCAATCAAAATACAGGACATGAATCAAGGTGGCCAATCAAAACATCCACTCATGTCGAACCAATTCAACGTCGAATGAAGTGTGTGACTGAAATTAGTGTGACGACGCTGGAGGACGATCTTTACATCCAAAAGTCAGGACAAAGAATCGATCGATCGATAGATTTGGCGAATCAGCATACAAAAGCTCCAAGTACAGATTTATAGCCACACTTTGAATCGAAGTAAATTCTAAATTTTCAACTTTGATTGGCCTATATACTTCGAAATTCGATTTCAATAACAAATCAAACCAACTGATTTGTAATAGCTGAACCTGATTGGCCACAATACATGGATACCCATATAAACTTCGGTGTGGCTTAAAATCCTTCGTTGTATTTCGGGTTACAAGGACAATACATATTGCCGGGACGAGTAGAATCTCGAAATTGGACCAGCGTGTTGTCAATATAACAACTGTACACTCGTGTGAATTGATCAGCTTGTACTACTACTGTAGTAGTATATACAAAAAAGAGCAATAACTCGTACATATATTTATGCACGTTTATATATATATATATGTATGTATTAGATCGACAGCATGTTTATTCTAAACTGGAGCGACATGGAGAACGTTCAAATCAATATTGTCCAGAAGGATCAGCAGACATTTTGAGCCAATCAGGGTGCAGGAAACGATCATCAACATAGAATTAGCAATGTGTGACTTCAATTCGTGTGATTGCAATCACCACAGGATACAAACTTTAGCACAACAAATCGATCGATAGATTTGGACAAAAGCCCAAACAAATTTGGGTCAAAGGACGTTATCGAAAGGATGTAGGTACATAATCGAGTGTACTGTACCAAGAACGTTCCAGAAGCACACACGCCCATGGTCGAGTCCATTTGAAGCACATGGACGGCCCAAGATCCCGATAGCGCGGCGTTGGGATGGGCGACTTCACCAGGCGGCAGCACCAGCACCAGCCGATCCACGCCAACTTGTATGGACGTATCGACAACAAAAATGCCCCGCAACAGGGCGGTGTGCGGCGTGTACCTATATTCTGTGAGTTGACCGAAAGATCATGTAGGGGAAGTGAAAAGGAAAAAATATATAGTGGATTCGGTACGGATTTCCAGACCCCGTTGAATAATCGAATGATCTCGCTGCCGAATCGAATCGCGAATCCACGACGCGATTGGTTAATCCAATTTTGCGTGGATTTGATTGGTTCTTACAGAAAGAACAAGTAAATTCAACCAATCAGAACTCCAGCGTGATTCAATATTGCTTCGACAAACCTCGCGAATGTTAAAAGGCTATAGCGAATTATTCACAATTAGAAAGCCCACTCCATGGAATGTAGAATAATATAATAATAATAATATTCACTCACCCGATGGAATGCGCATATGACGATGCATTCAACACGACGTGCTTGGCACGAAACGACTTGCCGTCAGTCGTCGACATGCCCACGCACAAGTCACCACTGGTTGTACCATCGACAGAGGGTCGTACATCCAGATGGCCACTACTGGTTGTATCATCGACAGAGGCTCGTACATCCACATGGCCACTACTGGTTGTCTCATCGACAGGAGGAGGTCGTACATCCAGATGGCCACCACTGGTTGCATCATCGACAGAGGGTCGTACATCCAGATGGGACAGCGACGTGCGCAGGATATACGTGCCATTGTACACGGCGCTGAGGCGACAGAAACTCTGCGCGACTTCGGAAATGCCGTACATGGGGGTCAAGTACGGCGACGGCGCAAACTTGCCGATGGACGTGACGAATGCGAAGATGGCGTCGAGGCTGTCCGACGTCGACAGCTCGACCGACGGGTGCGGACTCGTGGGCTGCAGGAGCACCGCGTAGCGCACCACTTGCTGCAGGGCAGCCGACAGTTTGAAGTGCGTCGACAGCACATCTGTAAACGAAGCATACTGGTCAAAGGTGGTAGTGAGCTTGTCGTCGTGTTGCTTGTTCTGCGGGCGTTTCAATGCGCGGCTGGCCGTGAGATCGCGCTCGTTGAGTGTCGTCACATCGGCTTCGCCTATGTGTATTCCACGAGTACATGATTGGACAAAACTATAAGAATGGAGAATTTGGATTGGATCAAAAACGGAATGAATGCAACGACGATATATGATTGGACAAAAGTATGAAAAGGGAGAATTTGATTGGATAAAAAGAACAATCGGGTACCGTAATCAGCAACAAATTGCAAAAACTTCATCAAATGCCGTTTTTCGAGCACGTTGAGTTTGCTCTTGAACACGTCGGGTTTGGAACACGGGACTTCCCAGATGGGCGGGTTCTTGTCTAGAAGGCGATATATGTCATGAGAGGAAGGATGGAGAAGGATGATGATGTACTTTGAGGCTGGGCAGAGTACATGAAGGTGCCTTGCATTGCCATAAAGTCGAGGTACCGACCGACGCCGGAATGGACTAGGACGTCCACAAGCGGGCTGTTGGACAGGAGCATCTTGGGCTGAATATCCAAGCTGAACGAAGACGACCGGGGTTGGAACGTGTCGGCTTTCGACTGATGCAGGAGCGTGCAGCGAAACGCATTGGTCAACGGATATGGTTGCGTCGGAGCGTCTGAAGTCGGGGGAGGTGGTTGAGCCGTCATCCACTCTTCGAACTGGTGCAAGGGCAACGAGGCAAAGTCGGACCCGTAGTACTCGTTCTACAAAGGATGCATGAGCACGGTTTGAGGAAGTGTGCGGCCAATACCGTGTCGAGGTGCAACACCTTTTGACCCGCACGGGCAAGCGACCTACATCCATTTGACATTATGAGGACGACATCCACGACGAAAGAGACCGTACGCCGCCACAATGGACTCGACGATGCCAGTCCCCACGACGATCACGTCGTATTCCGTCGTGTACACAATGTCATCCTCCGCCATCATCTCGACGACGGGACCGAAGGAGGAAAATGCGGAACATCGATTCAAGTATCCGCACAACGAACGTTTTATCCGGATACCGTCATATGATTGGTTATTTATATTCTATTTCATCCAATGGTATCTGCAATGCCCATCTACATTTCATCCAGTCGACCCAAAGTCTGCAGCATTGAGGAACAACATGAGCGGCATCCCACAAGTCTCACGGACGTCTCTGCAGGTGGGACATCACGGCGTGCATGAACGTTCCTTATCCTTGTCCATGTAGCTCTACCGCGATTGCCTGCGCTTGGCCAACCACATCGGCGGCAAGGTACGCACGGAGGAGGCATTGTTGAGCTCACCATTTGGGGGTGTATTTGGGTAGACCAAGAAGGGCGAAGCCATTCGAAGCATGCTTCGTGCCGAGTTTCGCAAGTCCATCCACGAGACGGACGAAGTGAAGATCGAAAACCTCAAGGCCAACGCCGTGCGTGGGTTGAGCAACTACTTGGTTCTGGCCAATTCGAGGTGCGTTCGTCGCTCGAGTTCACATGTGGCCTCATATCATCTATCGTTGTGTGCTTTATTGGCATGTACAGCAAAGACGGCAAGTTGAAGCAAGCCATCCGCACCACGGACGAATCTTCGGCAAAAGACCCTGCAAATGCCGAGTGGAAAGAGCTGTAAACGTAATAACAACAATGTCGTTACGAAAAACCGTTTCAAGTAGTCTTGATATTATCATCATCTGACAACACATGGGAACTTGCGCGTCCAAGGCGGGGCCGCGCAGCATGGACACGTGGGCCGCTGAACCAGAAAGCACCACCGGCGGCGGTGCTTCCATGGAGGAGGATCCATCTTCGACATCGTCACCACATTATCATCATGTCTACGTTCATGACGACAGCGTTCCCGTACAATCATCACGCCCTTATCCCAACATTGCCGACAGACACATCACTTGCTTAGGTCAGTTGCGTTGTCCATACATCAGGCCCCGTCTGCGCGTCGGGCTGGGACGACGGGACGATCAAATTGATTGATTTCTCATCCAAATCAATCGTACGATCGTGGGCGGCTCACAGTCGCAGCGTCAATCGGCTTCTCGTGGGTCCTCGCACTTCCAGGTCAATTTACCAGTCCAAGTCACTTGACCCATCGATCGCATTCATGTTTAGTCTGTACTCGTGTTCGCGTGACACGACCATCGCTCGCCACAGTCTAACCGACGACAATGCCATTCCCACGACCTTTGCCGGACACTCCCTCACCGTGTCGGCGCTGGCCATCGACCGTTCGTGCCCTCTCTCCACACGAGTTTACCGTACACTAGTGTGCATGTAGCTTCGGAAGGCCACCTCGCGTCCGGCAGCCGCGATACGAGCGTGAGTCTATGGGACGTGGCCACTGCCACGCGTCTCCAGAACACATCGACGTCGCAGAACATCGTCACATGCATGGCGTGGGTGCCGTCGGACGCGCACGTGGTGGCGCAGGGAGGCGAGGACCTCCACCTCCGCCTCTGGGACGCCCGGACGTGGAAGAACGTACAGACGATCGACGGCTACGTGTACTTTCCCCTGTCGCTGGCGTGCTCACCAGATGGCTACTACTTGTTCACGTCGAGCAAGGGGTTCAACGCTGTGGGATGCGAAGGCCGAGTGTGGGACCGCCGCACCGGCAAACAAGTCGCCGAGATGACGGGCCACTCCCAAGATGCAACCGCCTGCGCTTACATTCCGGGGCAGTACGACATGCGCCTCAATCGTTTGCATCATCATTGATAGGATGACGAAGTTGCATGGAGTAGTAGTAATAGTAGTAGTAGTAGTAGCACTGGTGATGGTGAAATCGGCGGACTACTCCTGGCGTTCAATCGATGGCCATCCTGACCAGTGACTTATGTAGCCCCGACGAAGGCATCACAGCGTCCAAGGACAGCTCCGTTCGAGTGTGGAGCACAGTGTCAGGGAACCTCTTGGCCTCGACGCAAGACGGTGCGGCGGGTACGCCCCTTTACGACACGATAGATGGCTGGATGACGACGTCACACATGTAGCCGCCATGTTTACAAGCCTGTCGTGCGTGGAGCCAGCGACGGCCGACGACGGAGTCACCCACATCCTGACGAGTTCGTTTGGGGGACGCATTGACATGTATGCGTGGGACAGGGCCAAGCAAAGCCTCGAGCTGGTGTAGCTTAGATTTAGCCGAGTGGTTTGTTACCACCGTTGGGCAATAGTACTGCAGGGTCTCTCTTACATGACAAGGATTGCTATGACATGCACTGGTGCCAATACCACTACAAATCCACGTTCATAATTTGCATGTGTACGTGATGGTAGCTAGCTATATACTGTACATTGAGGCTACTTACTGCGCACTCCTCTTCATACACACACGGACTAGTATATCTATCTATGTATGGTTCAACTTTTGGGACTGGAGGGTCGTCTTCGCGCAGCGACGTTCTTGGTCGGCATGTTGTATCCCCCCTCCCCATTCCATCCTCCATCGTGGTGGTATCACTCGGAGTCGTTGCATGGGTGACCACTTAGGTAGACAATAACGTACTGTGAGCACAAGCAACGGTTAGTACCTGGGCGTTGAAGGCGTCGGCAAACACGTGGGTGCTGACGTGAGGCCACCTGTAGTTGTACATGATGACTCTCTTTCCAAAGGGTTGGGTACAGTCCATCGCTGCAAGCCCCCCCATCGAATGGCCAATCCGAATCCTTATGAGCACAACATCCTCGTGCATCATGTCACTCTTAATACACGTGAATATAGTACTACAAACAAACAGTGAAAGAAGATGAATGGTTTTGCAGTAAATAATGTCGTTGTAGTCGTCGTCGAGACCAACCAAGGTTAGAACCTCGTGCAAAATTGACTTCGCATGGCATCGAACGACACAAGAAACCCACGGTGGACCACCAGCTAGGAGCCACCCTTCTCGCCTACAACAGGTAGAGCAGTACTTCCAAATCTAAAATGATCAACGAACTGCAGAACCAATGGAGCTGGCGGGATGCTGAGGATGGTGGTGATACTGACTGATGTGGCCGCCACGAAACGGACGCGAGGGCGAGATTTCCAAGTCAGTTTTCACGTTTTGTTTGCTGGCGGTACCTCGGAATGCAAACACGAGCTGGTTGGACATGCTAGATTGAAACACAACGCAGTTCATGCCACCTCCGGCAGTCCGTTGCGGTCGAGCGAGCGCATAGCCTGGCTAAAGTACGCGTGGTGCATAAGCATGCCCCCGTTCGACGGAGACCGATCATGAACCAAGTGGATGGATGATCGCAAGCCGAGAAGACATGCTCTTACCTACCAAGGAGGGAGTGGGACTCCGTCGATGGCTTCCCCTGAAATTTCATCAGCTGGTTCAGTGTGCTCGTGACGACGCTGTTGTTTTGGGATGCAAGGGGTTCGACAGACGGGGGGTTGACGACAGTTCATTCGTGGGCGTGGAGGGGAATATTTCCCCTTAGGAGCTAGCTGGTCACGTTCGAAGGCGAGTGGCTCGGGAAATGTGGGAAGAACAGCGGGGTTTCTGACTCGCGGGGGGGGATGCAAAAATACTGCGAGGTTCCCCTTGACATATGCTCTTGAAGGGAAAATTCCTTGTGGATGACGATGGGGCACTGGGGGAATAAAACCCCACGACGCATCACAGCATGAACAATGCCTACCGCGACTGTAGTCACGACCGACTCCGCAGGCAAATGCCCATTCGACTGTATCGCAGACTGGAAAATGTCCCCATGGATCGACACTGAGTTAACGTTGTTGTAGGCAAGCAACACTACCATGGCCATGTACGTGACGATCACAACATATCGGAACGCCAGCGATTGGTATCGAGTAGTTTAGTACCAAAGCGCACCCAGTTGGGTGGCCTACACGCGCTCCACGAGTCCGTCGCCGCCGCGGAAATACGAGAGGAACGAGCATTTTTAATCGTAATCGGACTTCGTCAATGTCGTTGGTTGGAACAACGGCGGAAGCAACTAGACGGAGTTTGTAAAAGTGGTGCGCGATTACCGTGACTAGACATCCAAGGATCACGAGGCTGCGGCACAGGCGAGTGCCACGCCCATTGAATTCCCACGAGAACAGTTTGCAGGTGAGAGCCCAAGTAGAAGTAGATTGATGCATGTTGTACGGGTCAAAACACACTGGCCTTGAAACAAGGGTATCGTCGGCGACGCGTCGCACATGGCAAGACATCGCACGACGCGATGGATGGCCAGCAGAGGCACCAGCCGAGTGCGCAGCCTGGATGGATCCGTGCTTGTGTGCAGGAGCATTCCGCCACTTGCGTTGGCCACCGCATGGAATGCTCCAAGGCCGATGACGACGAACCCATACTGCGTGGTTTCAATCATGCCAAGACAGGCACTGCCGACGATCGAATACTTTGATTGTCGAGGTTGTGGCACCAACAGACGTGGAGCCAACGTTGGTCGTTATCGTGCATGGTGTAGCTTCACTTTGACTTGTTCATGCTGTGTACAGTACTTTATATTATGAAGGGTTGGGGCATAATTAGTCGTGCTCCACGAACGATGCATGTGGGCGTCTTGTAGGGCGAAGTGTAAGCTTACTCGGATATACAGTGCATCGTGAACAACATAACGTTAACGTTACTGTGTTGGCTTGAATGCAGGGGAGTAGGAAAGGTCACAACACACACGATCGTACGCAACGTTAGCTGTCGAATGCTATGAGCGCATCACATGCGCTTGCTGCCCTGTAGAAAAGGACGATGAAGCAATTGTGGGTTGGTTTCTTTGGACGGGTCGTTGGAAGGACAAGAATGCGCTGCAACGCTTCCTCTCCGTGGCATTGGCGTGACCACTCGTTGCAACAAAGGCGATGCATAAGCAAAACAGGTATGTACTAGTAACCCCCCGTTACTTATTCCATTTCACTGGTCAATGAAAATTCATGAACTAGAATGATGTTCACCAGACTTCCATGGAAGGACGTACTGTAGTACTTCGAAGTACTACTGTAGACATACAGGACTTCCATAGAGTTCCAACCAGAGGCATAACATTATTGTAGAACTTATGTACTGGACTTCCATGGAAGAACCTCGATTCGAAATTGGAGTGGGGTGCTCACAATTGAATGCGCAGCGCTTCTGGGGGAAAAGGACAATGCTAAAAGTACTCCTTAGCGAATTGTGAACCATTGTGAAAAAACAGCCACGATGATTGATTGGTTAGAATTTCGAAGGTTTGGGCAGAAAATAGACATTCAACTCAGTATTCCACGACTGCGTGGGCAGTACGACGAGGTGTAGTCGCATGTTGCGGTAGCGCGGGCGTCCAGTTGGTGTACTTGAGTTGTATCTATATAGGTGTGCATGTGTGCTGGGGATACGGAGAGACTCGCCTACGAGACCTACGCGCTCAAGTGTTATTGCTGCAAAATTGGATCGTCCATTGACTCAGCACACTCAGGTAACTGCGTCATAATAGGGGTGATTGATTAGTAACAGGGAAATCCCATGACCAATGAGAGTCACGAAACTAAAATATTCAGCCAATCAAAGCAAAACCAGGTGATTCATTTTATAGTTATTAATAGTAAACAAATACTTTTCAGCCATTCAAAGCAAAACCAGGCGTTTTATCGATATAATTTGTGGATATCTCCGCGAGGGCCGATACATGTACTACCTTTGGTACAGTAAGTAGACCACATGTTGTGGAATGTTTCATGTTGCCAATGAAAATAATTCACTGTCAGTAAAATACTGTGTGAGACACAATATATTCGTGGCACTATGGACACAGGTGTGAACTGCCACAACTTTCCACAAGTAAACTGTACCATCGCATGCTGCCACGCTCAACTCTCCTCAACTGCCCTGCGAATATATACTAAAATATACCTAATAAAACACATGACCTTCAAATCCTTCGCATGCTTCACTCGATCTCTTGGGAGGGGGGGTTGCTGGCACGCTGAACTGGAGAAGTCGGCGGGGTTCCAACGAACACCCTCATGGTACAGGTTCAGTACCGGCACAGTATATCTGTGTGACAGCAGCGAGAATATCATGTGAGTACTACATGTAAGTACGAGTACGAGTGTACGCGAGAATAATACGCATTACTCTTGCACTGGTGTTGCATCATGTTTTTGCTACTGTCGCACAGGGTACAATTCCCTCATTCAAACAGTTCCACTGTTGTATTGACCCGAGATACTGTTTCAATGAGATTTATAAGGAACTTTGTATGCTCAGACCACCTCACATCTTACTAGGGGTTAAGTGCATATCAGTGGTTGGCGATAGCTAACAACTAGCGATGCAGTTAACCCCGGAGATTTAGCATCGTATGTACTCACCGGGGGTAGGTCGGAGTGCCAGGTTACAGGAGTTGAGAGTACACATTCTCGTAGTTGGGAGCGCGTCTACATATAGATCACTTTCCACCTGATCTAAGTATGACAAGAACACACCGATGGTCGCTGGTTCAGTCCCAGGTTTCCTCAGGTAGGAAGCCTAGTTAGGGTCGAGTCAGAACCCTCCCCTTTCACTACAGGGAAAGATGTATCCGGATGTAATAATTCCCTCATTGACGTTGTGAAACAATATTTCGGACCAAAACAACAGTGGAACTCTTTTACTGTTAATGAGGGAATTATTCTCGCAGAGGCGCCACGACACTGTAGTGGTCTCGTACTACTGTACAGTAGGTAGTCGCCGCTACACGTACTGTAATCTGATTGACAATTGCTTGTCGACCTTGCACTGTAAAACAACGGTGGCCATTGTTGAAGTGTTTTGTCCAGACTGGCTTTGTTGAAGTGAGAGTGGCTGTCTCATATGTGTTTTCTGGACCAAAACGTAGAAGCAAGTTCAACTTTCGAAGTTCCCTTGAGATTTGTCGCCCTTCCGTCATTTTTCAACGAGCGTTCTTCTTCACACTCCTTCCTCCCCATCGATCATCATCATGGCCACCGACTTGTTCTTTGCTCAAAAAGCGGCCATCATCTCCACGCTCGTGTTGTACGTCAAGTACTTGGTCGCCACGCTCATCGGCGCTCGCAAGCGCGAACTCGCAGGCCTCCGCGCCCCCGAAGACACGCCCGACCAGAAGCAGAACTTTGGGCTGGTTGTGGACTCCGTCGAAGACGGACAGCAGTCCAAGGAAGCCACGCAGCAAGCGGCCCTGCTTGACGAAAGGCGCTGGAGCCGCATCACGGCCAACGACTTGGAAAACATCCCCCTTGGACTCATCGTGGTGTGGGCGTCAATTCTGAGCGGCGGCGACACGGACATCAACGGCATCAGCATCATCGTGTTCACGGGGGTGCGCATTCTCCACACGGTGTTCTACGCGTTGGCGTGGTCCAAGCCCCGATCGATGGCGTACATGGTCGGTGTCGCCGCCATCCTTGTCATGGCCGTGGCTGGCATTGTTGGCGCGTTCAAGAAATAATGGAACGGCATCACTTCATCCTTTTGTTTGCATTGTTGAGTAGCAAGATGCAATTTTAATTGAAAAAGGACTTTGTTCACACTTGTTCGCGTTTCACAACCTAACTTACCTGGTATTGTGCATTTCACCCAATTTGGACTTGTGAGTCACTTCACCAACCAAATATACGTAGCTTTCAAAATCTATTTGTTCCTACGTAATCTTGTACACACTATACTATACAAACATTAGTATAAATGTGGTTTTGCCCATGCGAAAGGGCCAAACGTTTGGATTGGCAGAAATTCGACAGGACGTGATTTTATTGGCTCATATCGTTGTTTAATCCATACTCCGAAGTCATTCGATTATGCCGAGGGCTCCAGTTTCGAATCGATTTGACAATACACTGTATTTCAGTGGATAATTGGCGTTTACAGGAAGGAGGCTGCGGGAAATCTCGAAAACCAATTTGGCCTTGGCAAAGCCCACATCGCTTAACAACATTCAATTTGACTGGTTGACTTTGAAACGAAAATTAGGGAGATTTCGGAGATGAGTATTTATCTTTAACTAGTTAGTAGAACAACTGAACTAATTTAACATATTTTTCAATCAATTCAATGGATCGTATGCTTCTGCCGTCTCTACTAGCCCCAACACAAGCGCTTCAACGGAGAATGACCCATGGGACGACTTCGCCATGACCTCGCCGATCATCCACGAAATCCACGAATTTGGCTCCATCTAGTCTACGGATAGGGAAAAATTGTTATCTCCGAAATCGTCGATATAAGATCCCTGGCTTTCAATTTTTACGGAAAAGAAAAAGAGAAGTCATCTCCGAAATCTCCCTATTGAATACTTTTGGCAGTTAACAAATGTAAACAGGTGTTTACATTAACTCACAGTCGGTATACATTGTTTTATAGAAACAAAGCACAAAATCACGCAATCGAAAGGAATTTACTCATAACGGTTTAAGGCAGGAATGTTATCCGAACTATTTTCGAGGATTTTGAAAATATATCAAAAATATTTCTTAATTTCTATCGAAAACGTGCAAAAGCAGGAACGGACACCCAAAAGCAGATATGAATCATCACTGCTGTCAACTCAGGCGTCCCTTCTTTTGAGGTTGTGTTTTCCAGAAAAATTCATGTTTTAGCCAATCAGGAGTCGTATTTTCGCCCATACTTCAAAAAAGCGTGGACGGGAATTTTCGCAGACCAGCCCCTAACATTAATTAATCATTCATTCATTTCCAAAATACTTCCCTGTAGTTGTCCAAATCGAAACCATCACATTTTCTAATATCCCCCAATAAATTGCAAAGTGCGTGCGTGTAATTCATATCCGAGCATTTGCGGATATTTGGAAGGCGTATACTGATTTCCCTCGCTCTTTGAAACGCCTGATTATGAACAAGTTTTGGAGAGTACCAAAATATAAAGTGAAAACAATATTAGTTTATGGAACATCCTGACTATTCAATTGCATGGATGACACGTGCTCGCTAAACGACGACAGGTCAGTGTCGAGAATGCCAGTACGGTTTCAGCAGTTCACAACAGTTGACCGTGACACAGAGCGCCATGCATCCTTGGCCCACGCCATGGCGTCCACCAGAGGTACCTCATACAATCTGTCCTGACGGCCATCCATCAGAGCATCAATCTGCTCAAGTGCGTTCTGTAGCTGGCGTTGTTTCACCTTCGCCTTGAACGAAGCCATGATTCCAGCATTTTGGGGCTGCAGGTGGGACGTCATATTCTTTGGAAGCATCTTGACCTTGACGTTCGTGTACAGAGACTCGTCGTCGGGCTTGTGTGGCGGCGCGTTGTCGACCAGCAGCAACACCTTCCGGTCCTCGGCCACCATGCGCTCATTCAGCGCCAGTAGGTACGTGTTGAAAAGGTTGCCCGTCATCCAACCCTTTTTGCTGGCCTTGTAGTCAAAGCCCAAGGCCTCGCCCGACAACCCGTTGAAGCACCGTGGCCGCGCCGCCGTCCCGATGAACAGAGGGTCAACGACATCCGACCCATCCGCGTTCGTGGTGAGTGCAATGGTGATCCTCTTCTTCGACTTCTTTGTTCCAGGCTGGCGATGCCGCGTGATGGAGCGGTGTGGGGCCATGCAGTAAAAGAACGAGGTTTCATCCATGTTGTAGGTGTTGGCGACCTCGAAACCACGCGTGACTTGCTGATTGCTTGGCGGCCGTCTTCGACTTGCGCTGGCGTCACAGATCCAGCCTCACCGTGCTGGACCTTGCTGGTAAGACCGTACTTCTTTTGGAAGTTGTGTAACCATCCCTTTGAAAAGGAAATTCGACGGGTCGGCGCGAAACCCAGTTCGTCGCAAAGCACTCCAGCTTTCGAATTCACCTCCAGTTTCGATATTTATAAGTTTACGAAAATTATTCAATTTGACCCGTTTCAAAGAGCGAGGGAAATCAGTATATCCAAATTTGAAATGTCGAGATATTTCAAATTGTTGGCCTTGAACACATCGTCAACACCAAAACGGCTGTACTTTGGGTTCAAAACATACTGCAAATTGAAATATAAATTTCTGGGTCATGACCGGAGTTATGACCAGGAGGTATAATATTCGAGATATATGACCAAACGGAATAAATATCTCAAATATGAATTGGTCTGGTCACTATAGAATGTTGAGTATATTTGTTGCCTACAATTTACATTATTAGCATCTGAATGCAAAAAACATACTTCCTCTATTCCACATTACTACGTTGTTACGACTTGTCACCGACCCGAAAAATTCATTTCAAATCCAATTTCGATGTAGGGTATCATTTTTTAAAGAACATAACAAAATACAGGTGCCATCTATTGGCTGCCAAGCGCCAGAACTGAAACTTGGCGCTTAAAACCGACTTCAAATATCAACCATCCGATTAAAATTACACTACATACTTAAAACAGCTTAATTTTGAATTTGCAGCCATGGAGAATCAAGTCAAAACGCATCGGCCGAGAGCTCTCGAGCAGTGACAAAGTTACGATCATCGTTGGATGATCGTAACTTTGTCACTCCAAGCCTTCATCAAGAAGGGCAAACTTCCTCGTGGTGCTTACAAACAAGCAGCAGAGCAACTGAACATGAATCCCCGCACCGTCGGACACGTTTGGCGCACGTTTTGCTCCCGTGGCACCACAGTGTCCAACAAAGCTGGCAAGGTTGGGCCCGAGCCAATGTATTCCACCGACCGCGCCCAACAGCTTGTTCAATCCATACCTGCCGACCAAAGGTCCACCTTCCGCGACATGGCGGCAGCTACCAGCACGACCCTGGGGACCCTGAGTCGCCACCTTAAGAAGGGAACGTTGCAACGATGCTCAACACCCATCAAGCCGCTTCTGACGGATGCGAACAAAGTCGAACGCAGCGCAATTTAACGGCCTATGGGATGTGGTGCAACTGGACGACAAGTGGTTCAACGCAGACAAGGATCGTCGAAAGGTCTACCTCGTCCCGGGTGAGATGCCACCCTGGCGATCTTGGAAGAGCAAGGGACTTATCCCGAAGGTGGTGTTCTTGGGCGCCGTTGCTCGTCCTCCATACGATGAGCCCCGCGGTGTTTTCTTCAACGGCAAGATTGGGATGTGGCCGTTTGTGTGCCTTGTGCCGGCCGCCCGCAACTCTCGCAACCAACCAGCAGGGACTATGGTGACAAAGCTGGTCAGCGTCGACGCTGCTGTATATCGAGACTACGTGATGAACAAGGTCGTACCAGCAATCAAGGCCACGTTTCCAAGCGCGAACAAGCGCGTCGTGCTACAGTATGACAACGCGACTCCACATGTGTCTATCACGGACGCGGAACTGGCAAGTGTGTCGACGGGTGGCTAGAGAACGTGTTCTTTACCTTTCAAGGAGTGATGCGGCTGGTTCTCGAGCACGGCGGCGACAAGCCACTTTGCGTTGCCCCATGTGAAGAAGGCAGCCTTGAGACGCGCTGGTTTTCTTATGTCGAATGTTTCTTGCCCTGTTTCGTTGCTTTTGTAGGCTAGGAATTATTGACCAATCGAATCATTGCATTCTGTTATGAGCCAATAGAATCTATTTCTTCACAGTAATGTGGAATAGGTGTGTTTTTCTTATCGACGTAGTAATGTGGAACAGAGGAAGTACTCAACATTTGTATTGCATCATTCACTAACTGCAACTTCCAAATTCGATACAAAAAGAAAAGAGCACCATCAACTACCCGCTTGCATTACATCCTGAAAACGATCGAAGCACAGGAAGCATTGTTGGACACCGGCTCAAAGTGCACACAAGCCCAGTTTGCCCATGACAACGGCGTCTCCAAGCGTGGACAAGACAAGTTACTGATAGATACTGCAAGCGCACAGACAAGACCCTCTTCAAGGCGTGAAGAAGCAAGCATCTTTGGCAATTCAAGACTCCGGTGCTCAAGGGACAGCAGCGATGTTGTCGACACTGGATACACATGGAGTCTGAATTGGTTGCGGGGAAAGGGTACCATTCCAAACAGCGCAATGACGAGCGTCTGGTCAGCAGTGCCAAGCGTCACAAGCAAGGTTAGGTTGACGTTGAGCTTTGTATTGGGCAAGAAAGCACGACTCCGGGTGAGCACCCTATGTTGAAGTGTTCATGCCTCGGGGCGTGCGGAATGGCGTGTGTCAACAAGAAACGTTTGGTCGAGTGCGACAGGTCGATTTGCAACCTAGGACAGCGTTGTGGTAACCGACTTTTACAATCGGGACAGAAGCCAAACTTGGTGAAGTTTGAGGTTGCTGGTATGGGCTTTGGGGCAAAAGCATACACGGTGTTTACCACACACGATCCATTCTTCGGCAATTGAGTTGAGCTTGCACGAGTGGTTAATCAACCGCGAGCTGTTGCCGACTTGAAATTGATCAATGTACCTTCCACTGTCCAGCACCATCATGTACGTGTGATGGTGTCGCTCTTGCCGTGCACAGGCCACCTCACTTGAAATCACTTCGCCGACGTACTCACAAATGAACTCGCCTTTCTTGAATTGCTTGGAGCCACGTATGCAACAAGAGCCATCAAGATGGACGGGAAGTCACATTCCATTATGGCTCATCGTACGCATTGAAACCTTTGCCTGTGCAAAAGTTGTCGAGCGTAGATGTACTGTAGTATAATACATTATGATTTGATTTGCGTATGAACATAAGATAGTCTTTTACTGTGTGTACGTTTAATCTTGACTTGAGTATGAACAAATGATATGTCCTTTACGAAAATTCATGGATTGAACTCATGGATTTTGCAATAACTTCCGATTATCTTGACTTAAGTATGAACAGAAGATACAATGGCCGTCAGAATGGTTACCCACTTTTCACTTCGACGGAACTGTGAATAGCTTGATGTGATTGGGTCCAGTAGTTCGAACTACGCCTCGGTTTTCAGCGAATCAGGACAGGTCGCCATATTTTTATTCATCTCAAGTGAGAAGATTCCATTTTATTGCAGGTTATGGGATGATAGAGATTATCGTCATTGCAATTTTGACTTTAAATCAATGATTTGTGCAGGATATCGCCTTCGATGATGTCCTCGGCAAGCCAGGCATCTCGAAGGTAACGCTTGAACGGCCCCATGACGCCAACATCTAACGGCTGACAGACAGACGTTGCGTTGGCCGGCAGGGCAACCAAATGGGTACTGAGTTCCTCATTGACGATCTTGTACAACTCATCACTGACGTGGCTGACAGCAGCGAACGCAGGTACGTCTTCCAGACATCGTTGTCCATCCAAGCCTTGTTTTGCATAGCGTACACGTGACCCGCCGGGAAAGTTGGGAACTCGTTCGTTTCAATGCGGCCGCCCGAGGCTCCACGGATGACGAAGAGCATGGGGAGCTTGATGCCGTCTGCCTGCGCCGTGAGAACGACTGTCATTCGCATGGAGTGCTTCTCTCCAAACGAAATCTTCGCGCCACCACCACGTACGTCCCAGATGTATCGCGGCGGCATGTCGTAGTAGAAGCCCGTCTCATCGACATTGTAGACGGTATCGTGGGCGTATTGTCGGTACGAGTGGTGGAACTCTTCGGCGAACTCGTCTCGGACCTTGATGAGGGCAGGCTGGGACTGCTTGCCGCAACCGCCTTTGAGACGAGAGAAGCCGTGACACAAGCGTTGGAGCAGACGCAGTATGCCTTGGTAGCCGGTGCCAAGTGCTTTCCCGGCAAGATACGTGCGTAGCCAGTCAGTTTGAAAGCGCTTAATCTAAGTGATCATGTGCGCGGATGTTAGCGCTCGCTCGCGCACTCTCATTTCCTTTATGAACTCCAGCAGGCCAACCGGGTCGGGGAAGCTTTCGGGGTGACCACCTAGGCTCAGCTTCATTCGCTTTTTGTTGCCGTCGAAGTCGAGTATGTCGTCCTTTTGGTCGATCCACGACCGAATGGTACGACGTGGGATGCCAAGGAGTTTAGAGACGTTGTGTACGTTGGAGGTCTCTACGAGCTCGAGCACTTGTAGCCGTACAGCCATCTCGTACCCGCGCTTTCTGCGAAGGCGGTGCGTTGACAGGGTGGTCATTGAATTTTAAGTGAATGTGAGGTGGATTATTTTAAATAATTGCGCGCGGATGGGAGAATATTATCATCGGCCAATGAATTGACTGTATTCTGGGTAATGATTGTTATTGGATAAAAAGAATGTTGAAGTCCAAGAATCTTCGACTGGCGAACCATTCTGACGGCCACTGTATGTACTTTGTGACTTACAAGAAGTTAGTATACACCACGAAACTCCGAAACCCCGAAATTCCGATCTTGACTTGAGTATGAACAGATGATATGCCCTCTTGTACTGTACAATGCAATAGAGAGATTTGTATTTGAATGTCACATTGTCACTTATCAAGAACGTTTGCCTCCCGTATTTGTTTCAAACACAGATTAACAGCGTACTGGTTTCAAGGTCAAATCTACTCGCTAAAGTGTGCAACAACTGAGTTGCGGGTTGATGGTAAGTCGGTGGATGGGGTGAGCGTTTTGAGTTTTGACTTCAAAAATTCAGCCAAGGACCGTAGGCCGCTCCATTTCTTGAGGACATCGTCCAAAAATGCAATGCCCTCTGCTTCGGAGAATCCAATGTTGATGGCCAACGCGATTGTGTCATACACTGGCTTCCGACGAATGAAAAGCTATGTGTCCGTGTTGCTGGATCGCCACTTGCTGCCATGCAGTGTTTCCATCGACTCAATTGAACGAGCTGGGGGGATTCCGTACTTGAACTCGGCCCACGCTTGATGCACTGAGTACAATTGTCGCGACATGCGATACGGTGGGAGTAATGCCTTGCATGCTCATCTGTTTGAGGAGCCGAGGCGTTGTCGCATGTTGCAGTGGGGCCTAGCAATACGTGACTTGAGTCGAAGGTTAAATTTCTTGCCGCTGCAAGCAGTGCTTGTTGAATCCCAAGGCGGATGGTACTTGACACTTGTTGGTCGGAAGGTCCATTGTCACAGTTGTATTCGTTGCCAAAGCCTGTTGCATTGCGGCCAAGCTGCTGGTGATTTGAAGAAGTTGCTCGTGGACGTGAACCGTGTCCTTACGAATGTCGGCAAGACTCTCAGCAACCAAAGGCATAGCCCGTTGCAGTATGGCACTTGCTGGTGTAGGTGTGTCGGCAATAGTTGACAAAAGCTGCACGCGAAACTGAACAAACTCAGGTGTCTTCAGGATCGGGTGGCGGAAGAGGGGATGACCGTTGAACTCATCGTTTTGAGACAACACAGCCATGTCTTCCAGCAAAACCGTCCTCATGTACTCCATCAAGTCCAAGAAACTGGAGCCAGAAATCTCGGTACCCGTAGCTCGCGACTGTGTTAATTGCTGCCTTGCGGTTTCGAGCAGTGGGAACACCATTAGCTTAAGCTGGAGGGGGGTTCAAGCAGATCCCATGGAAGGTAATAGCTTTTGCTTTCAGTGCCAAATCCGGCGAGAACTCGGACACACTCCCACGGAACAACGTTGTTAGCGTACCGGCCTTTCCTACTCTTGATATCCCAATGCACTTGCTTGTCAACCGACTCCCCACGAGCGCCAAGGTTCTCGGCTGACGCAGCGACTTTGCGGCCTTTTTATGTTCGAACCTTCGTTTGAATGCCCAACAGCTCATGCTGTTTCTTGATTGCAATATACTGATGCGAATACAGCACGGGGGTAACTCGGCTTACTCCTTCACCGCGCAAATGTCGTACCAACGGTCTGTGCATGCAAAGTCCGACCACGTGTCGTTCCCAACTTGCCATCGGTATAACCAATACAACGACAACACCCCAATAGACACCTTCGAGCGTCAATGTGGCGCATCATAGTCGTTTGTTCAACATTGCCATACTAGGTTTTTTTGGACTTCCAACAAACACAGCAAAACGGCTTTGCACACTGTACGCCTTCGTTTGGAAAATGAATGATCTCATGTTATCGCCACGTGAACACAAGGCAAGCGACATCAAGTTGTCCACACGGTATTTCAACCTGGACTCAGAATACTCAGCGTAGAAATTGCTGCTGACATTTGCCAAATTAGCAGCATCCACACAATCTACCATGATGCCCTTGCCGCGGTCGACGAACGCTTCGTCGTTTCTTTCCATCGTCGCGACCTTCTTTTGTTTCAATAACTCCTTGACACTGCTTCGTCGAATCAGCAACCTCATGTTTTGTCCGAACTCGTGCTGAACGCACCAAATGTCCATCAGGGTGTTGGCGTATGCCGCAACTGAGTGATAACCCACGCACGTACTCGCACTGACATCAGGTGGCATTTCGGCGTCGAGGGATTGTTTGGATTTACGGCCATGATTGCGGATGGGACGATTGTTGACTTGGGAGAGAAAAAGTACCATTTTGTTTAGCGCAGTTAAACAACGGGCAAACTACATGAAAAACACAATATATAGACCAAGGTTTATTTTTTTAGAACCTCGTGCGTCAAATGACGCAAGAAACCCACGGTGGACCACCAGCTTGGAGTCACCCTTCTCGCCTACAACAGATGGAACTTTACTTCAAAATCGAAAACGATCAACGAACTGCAGACCCAATTGAGCTGGCGGGATGCTGAGGATGGTGGTGATACTAACTGAAGTAGCCGCCACGAAACGGACGCGAGATTTCCAAGTCAATTTTCACGATCTTTTGTATCTCGGAATTTGCGTTCCGAGGTACCGCCAGCAAACACGAGCTGGTTGAACATTCTAGATTAAAACACAACGCAGTTCATGCCACTTCCCATAGTCGGTCGCGGTCGAGCGCACAGTCTGGCTGACAGTGAGTAAGCAAGCCCCCCCACGTTCGACGAAGACCGATCATGAACCAAGTGGTTGGACGATTACAAGTCGAGAAGACATGCCGTTTCCTGACCAAGGAGCTCCGTTTATGGTTTCCCCTGAAATTTCATCAACTGGTTCAGTGTACTCGTGACCACGCTGATAAATTTGGGAGCAAGGGGATCGACGGACGGGGGGGGGCGACGACAGTTTACTCGTGGGCGTGGAGGGGAATATTTCCGCTTGGTATCTAGCTGGTCACGTTCGAGGACGAGTGTCTCGGGGTATGAGGGAAGTAGAGTTTCTGAATCGGGGGGATGCAAAAATACTGTCGACGTTCCGCTTGACGTATGCTCGTGAAGGGAAAATTCCTCGTGGATGACAATGGGGGGATACCCACGACGTATCACAGCATGAACAATGCCTACCGCGACTGTAGTCACGACCGATTCCACAGGCAAATGCCCATTCGACTGTATCGCAGACTGGTATGTCCCCGCGAATCGCCATTGAGTTAACGTTGTTGGCAAACAACACTACCATGGCCACGTACACTACCATCACAACACATCGGAAACGCCAGCGATTGGTATCGAGTAGTTTAGTACCAAAGCGCACCCAGTTGGGTGGCCTACACGCGCTCCACGAGTCCGTCGCCGCCGCGGTAATACGAGAGGAGCGAGCATTTTTAATCGTAATCCGACTTCGTCAATGTCGTTGGTTGGAACAACGGCGGAGGCAACTAGACGGAGTTTGTAAATGTAGTGCTCGATTACCGCGACTAGACATCCAAGGATCACGAGGCTGCGACACAGGCGAGTGCCACGCCCATTGAATTCACGAGAACAGTTTGCAGGTGAGAACACGCGATGAAGGAGCCAAGTAGAAGTAGGTTGATGCATGTTGTACGGGTCAAATCACACTGGCCTTGAAACAAGGGCATCGTCGGCGACGCGTCGCACATGGCAAGACATCGCACGACGCGATGGATGGCCAGCAGAGGCACCAGCCGAGCGCGCAGCCTGGATGGATCCGTGCTTGTGTGCAGGAGCATTCCGCCACTTGCGTTGGCCACCGCATGGAATGCTCCAAGGCCGATGACGACGAACCCATACTGCGTGGTTTCAATCATGCCAAGACAGGCACTGCCGACGATCGAATACTTTGATTGTCGAGGTTGTGGCACCAACAGAAGTGGAGCCAACGTTGGTCGTTATCGTGCATGGTGTAGCTGCACTTTGACTTGTTCATGCTGCGAACAGCAATGTAAATAATGAAGGATTGGTACATGATTAATCGTGCTCCACGAACGATGCATGTGGGCGTCTTGTCGGTTGAAGTATACTCGGATATGCAGTGCACCATCAACGAACGATATATGTACACCTGCCTTGGCTTGAATGCAGGAGAGAAGTACGCAGCTGTCGATTCTATGAGCGCCTCACATGCACTTGTTGGCCCTGTAGGAAAGGACGATAAAGCAATTGTGGGTTGCTTTGGACGGATCGTTGGACACAGACGTTCCACCAGAACAACGTAGAGTTCCAACGTATGAGACATATTTTGGAAAACAAATTTTTCATTTGAAAAGTCGATTTTCCAATATCTACCAAATATCCGAAATGTCCAGAAGCACATGATGCTTGCATATTTTGGTTGTGGTTAGGGTATACACTTGGCAGGTACATAATGCAACTCCTGCGGGTTATTAACACTCCGGAGTACTTGAAGTATTACTTATGTATTTATAGAGCCAGTTGTCCAATTGATTAAAAATAACAGATGGGATTAAGGAGGACATTCATTTAAAGAGGTATTTCTACACTGATATGAATTGTCTCGTTTGGAACTCAACCTTGTTCCAGTTACAGTCCCGTGGGAATGTTGGTTGCATGTTGCCAGTTGAAAGAAGGAGTACGGCGAATGGTAGTACTGTATGGGACTTGCAAATCTAATTCCGTGGCAGCATGGACCATGCCACAAGTGTGAACTGCCACAACTTTCCACAACAATCTACCATCGCATGCTGCACGCTCAACTCTCCCCCGCTGCCCTGCGAACGCATACTCAAATATAACACATTCCCTTTATGTCGATTGCATGCTTCTCTCGCTCAATCATTTGGGAGGGGGGAGTGATACGTCGAACTGGAGAAGTCGGCAGGGTTCCAAAGAACGCGCTCATAGCATGCGTTTCGTCTGTATGACTGCAGTGAGAACAACATGTGACTGCTATGTACGTAGTACAAGTGTACGCGAGAACAACACGCAACACCAGTGCCCGAGTGTAGTTAGTCACTACACTCTTGCACGCGTGTCCATAGTCACTACACTTTAGCTTCCTGGTGTTTTCGCTACTGTACTGTCGCACAGACGCCACGACACTAATGTACTAGTGGCGTCGTACTAAAGTGAAGAAGTCGCCGCTAACTAACGTTACTGTAATTTCATCAGGACTGACAATTGCTTGTCGACCTTGCACTGCAAAAACACTACCACTGTTGAAGTGCTTTGTTGAAGTGATTTGTTGAAGAGCGAGGTTCGTTGAAGTGAGAGTGACTGTCCGTATGTGTTTTCTGGACCAAAAAAGTTGAAGGCAAGTTCAACTTTGAGACTTTGAAGTTCCCTTGAGAATTCTTTCTCGCCCTTCAGTCATTTATCAACGAGCGTTCTTCTTCACACTCCTTCCTCCCCATCGATCATCATCATGGCCACCGACTTGTTCTTTGCTCAAAAAGCGGCCATCATCTCCACGCTCGTGTTGTACATCAAATACTTGGTCGTCACGCTCATCGGCGCTCGCAAGCGCGAACTCGCAGGCCTCCGCGCCCCCGAAGACACGCCCGACCAGAAGCAGAACTTTGGGCTGGTTGTAGACGCCGTCGAAGACGGACAGCAGTCCAAGGAAGCCACGCAGCAAGCGGCCCTGGTTGACGAAAGGCGCTGGAGCCGCATCACGGCCAACGACTTGGAAAACATCCCACTTGGACTCATCGTGGTATGGGCGTCAATTCTGAGCGGCGGCGACACGGACATCAACGGCATCAGCATCATCGTGTTCGCGGGTGTGCGCATTCTCCACACGGTGTTCTACGCGTTGGCGTGGTCCAAGCCCCGATCGGTTGCATACATGGTCGGTGTCGCCGCCATCCTCGTCATGGCCGTAGCTGGCATTGTTGGCGCGTTCAAGAAATAATGGAACGGCAACACTTCGTCGTTTTGTTTGCATTGTTGAGTTGCATATTTCGTTTTTAATTGAAAAAGACTTTTTAAGTTCACATCTCTTTCGACCAATCAACCTACAAGCCAAAGCGTTACAAGGTCGGGAAGTTCAATTCGCCCGCATAAAAGCTGCCCGACGTCGTCCAAGATCTTGCGTAACCTGCACACGTACTATCTGGGTCTCCATGGCCCAGACACGTACACGCACAATTTTAGGGGCGTTCGTGTTTGCAAACAAGCTAGGCGTTCCGCTCATGCAACGTCGCTACTGATGGGACGTCCAATTCTTGGATACATGGTTGATCGCCATGACCACAAAGCGTTCCCATCGCATTGGTTCGACAGGTTGGTGGCGCCATGCTCGTCATCGATGGCCAGCAGCGCTTGACCACTTCGGTTGTCCTGGCGTCAGCGATTCGGCACGCTTTCCTGGACCACATTGCAGCGTCCGCAGCTCCTGTCGCCACAATATGCCCAGCCTCCATCGCATGGCTCGACGACGTCCTCTACGTGCAAGATGCATTCACCTCAGACAACGATCTCATGACGTTGTGGCAGTCCAAAGTCGAAGTTGGCGCGCACAGGAGGTAGGTACTTTACGGCGGGTGTTTCTCACATCTGGTGTCACAGCGCACTGGAAATACTGGATCTGGGTAACAAGAAGTCGTTGGTGCTCGTCCAATGCAAACGCTTCTTTAACATGAAGGTGGCCGCTCTGTCGACGTCTGACTTGGGCCGATTGGCGGTCAGCCTGAGTCAACTGACAAATGCAATCCGATTGCAAACCAACATCTATGGGAAAATCTATTTATAGACAGACATTTCCAAATGTTCTATTTCTGGGGTCCGTTATAGAATGCGTCAAAATCTTCACTCAAACGACGTGTAGCCAATCAAAGCGTGCAAATTTGGCTTGGCGAGATTCCATTGGCTACTGACCCAATTGACCAACGTTGAACGTTTCATGCACGCAGCGCGTGATAATGGCGTTCAGAAGCTGATTTGCTCAAGGTCTGTCGCCGCCGTCTCGCTCGATCTCCATGGCGTCCTTGATCCAAGCCATGCAGCCTTCAGCATCCAACAATGCCAACATCATCACACGCCATAGACGCAAATCTCACAGCCCAGAGGTGGCGACGCTCAGCAAGGTCAGTGTCCAGGACTACAAGGTCGACCCGGCTCGCACAACCGAGACCGTTGATGATGCCGCTTTGTCTTGCACTCCGCCGCTCCACGAGTACCTCCACTACCTTCTCGAGCACATGAAGTGGGACAGCGACGCGACCAAATCCAAGCTAAAGCAACTGATGCATTACGATGGCCTCGAACGCGACTCGTTGCACACGACGCTAGCACACTGCCTCAATGAAATCGACCGTCTCCACGACGTAGTACTCAAGAAAGCCGACCACGCCGTGGGTGACTCGAATCAAGCCGAGGAGAGCAGCGACGCGCGGCCCGAAGATGAAACGAACAACGAGCCAGAAGAGGAAAAGAAGCAATTTGCATCCTCCCTTCTTCCCCCTCGCGGGGCCAAGTACCACGTGCCAGACGCCATCGACACCAAGCAACCTCCCGCGAACATCAGTCCTACCTTCAGTCCATTGCCACGACCTCAAGCCGTCGTCACGCCAGCCTCGTCCGCATTTCGCCGTCGAAGCAGCCTCCGCCGCAAGTCGCTCACGTCGTGCAAAAGCAGCCCAGGTACCTGACCTACCTATCTCTCGATATCCCAGGGATTATTCCTAATCGGGTCGAACTCAGGCAAGGTCAGCGTGAGCCCTGGGAAGCACGGGATGGCCAACCAACTCGTACTTGTCAAAGCTAAAAAGCCGAAACAGAATGCCCGCACTGCTCCTTTCTCGTCCATCACAACCGCCAAGAACCAGCGCTGGGCCATTAAGATTGCACGCAAGTTTAAGCCGCTGAACTTGAGTCTGTTTACATTTCACCCCGCGGCCGCGGCGATCCCACCGCCAGTGCTGGAGCTCGGCCCGCAGCAAAACGCCATGATGTTGCGACAGTTGCGGTACGTCAAGGGGGTGATGCACGAGCTTCCGTGGGCCAAGGGCCGGCTTCGTGACATGTTGTCCCAGTACACGCAGAAGGAGTACGTTCATTCACTATATATCTCTCTCCTCGTCCAACTACACGGATGTAGTGGCAAATAGTAATCATGTGACGATGTTATGTGACGACGTTGTTGGTTTATAGATTGTCCAAGGAGCTGTTGTTTCCGCAGCTGAGCCACCTGAGCACCCAAGTCCAGGACGAGCTCACGTCGAAATCGCAAGCGCAAAAGAGCTTGTTGGAAACCAAATCCAAGCTCACCGTGACGCTCCAACTCGCCAAGAGCGTCATCAACGACCTGCACATCCTCAAGTTTGGCCGACGGGGTAAACCCCATGAGACCAAGCTCTTCTACGACGAATGCCACCCGAGTATGCTGTACTGGCAGTCCAAGCAAGGCGAGCGCAGCAACGCGTTCCTGCCGCTGCATGCCGTCAAAGCCATCCACGTCGGCATGGAGACTGCCGTGCTCAAGAAAGCGGCCAAGAAGACGCCGATCCTGGACCCCGACTGCTTCCTCAGCTTGGTCACCGAAGAGCGCACGCTGGACCTCAAGCTCAAGAACGCGCTGCAGCGAGACTGGCTGCTCAAGGCGCTGCGAGAGGTCGTCGAGTACGCCGTCACGTATCGGGCCAACTTCGCCGCCAAGAAAACCCTCAACGTTACGCCGCGGTTGCGTCGCATGTAGCATGTCAATGAATATTCACATGCCCGACATCAAATAGTGTGAAGCGTGTCCATGCATGAAGGCCATGACTGGCGCTTGGAAGTACTAGTAGACGAGAAAATGGACGAGATGGCCTGTTGACAACATTAGGAGATGGTGGCGTGTGTCTAGTTAGTTCTTCTTGTAGTTGGCCTTGTTCTTCTTGAGGAGAATCGAGATGTAGAAGAGGGACATGCCAATACTCGTGCCGGCAATCACACCCGCGGGAACAAAGTTCTGCGTGTCCTTGTAGCGAAGGCCCATAACGACGCTCAACACCGACGACACGCCGAGGGAGAGGGCCGACCACGTCTTGGACACCACCGGGCTCGACTGAAACTCTTGATACGAGGCATACCCGAAGATGAGGAGCAGGGTACCCGCACCCACGCCAGCTAGTAAAGTCGTTAATGACGACGATGATGAGTGGGCAAGCTTGGCAAGCATACCTGTGAGCGAGGCAGAGCTTCCGGAGTTCACGTAGCCGACAATACCACCAACAGCGATAGCTGCACCATACTACAAGAAGCATGAGAGGTGTGATGATGAACAGAGACGATCGTCGCATACAGGAAGGGTCAAGCAGAAGTCATACATGGCGGCGACTGCGGCAGCAAATCAGGAAATACCCAAAGATTATTATATGTGTGGCTGCCATGTGTAGGATTATATAAATATTTTTATTTGACTTACAATTGGTATGTGGATTTCTTCAAATCCAATAATCCGATTTAATTAATTAAAATGTGCCTTTGACACGATAAAGATCCGGCGGATAATAAACCTCTCGGTTATTGTATTGGGTCTATATTTGTTCAATTAACGTTATCATATTAATATTCAATCAAATTACCAGGTAGTAGTTGAGAATACTGTATCTTGCAAAGTACAGATTGTACTATTTAAGGTAATCTCTAGCGAATGAAAGTGTCCCAAAATGACAATTCGAAACCAAAAACGAGCCAACTCACAGGCTATAAGCGATGTAGTTCATTCAAGTCCCAGCACTCGAACTTGCCTTGTGTGCCTATCTCAAACCACGAGAAGACACACAAGTAGTCGTATGCCTACGGTACCTGCTTGATTGGAGCGCAATTCCATGGCGATCAATCAACGCCGCCCATGGCCGGCCCAATGTCCGAGCATTAACATCGCTTCATTGAACGAAGTGAGGGTCACCGTTTGTCAAATATGTATGCCTTGACGTTGTGTGGGGGTTGTGAAAGTGGTCAGTGTTGTTTTGAACGGAGATTCGAATCAGTTACTAGTGGACGGTCTTGGGGGACTGAGCCAAGCTACGTTTGGAATTCGGTGGCCTCCCCATCCTGGGAGATCATGCTCCAACCTATAGCCTTACCTGCCAAGTATATATCAGTGGTCCTGCATACAGCGGACTTTCATGCTGCCATGCCTACATACCCCCCACCGACATCCACAACCACTAGAGAGTTGCACTGCTGTCGGTCCTCACGCATTTGTACTCGAAGGTCACCAGATACATCCTTGTTCGAATATGCTGAGGCGTAAAGTCCTCTTGATGCCGCTGCCAACGATTCCCCAGCGATCGACTATCTATATAAAGTTAGTTGGCTTGTCATCCAATCTTGTCAGATTCAGCGTGCAGGCCAACGACTGCGCTGGCCCTGCGACTTTGCCCACTTTGTGATAGTGGACTTCGTAGGCAATTATGTAGTTGTCACTTTTGTGGCCCGATTTCCATTGACGCCGACACTAGACAATGATTTCGATCATCGTAGCTGACAAAGCTATCCTAACTTAGACGAGAACTGTCAATGAAGACGACTAGGTGCTTGCATTGCAGCAACATTTGTCCCTTCTGCGCCGTAAGGCCATCAGCACGAGTTGTCACGAGGTAAGCAAGCACTCCGTGAAAGTTCATAGCTGCTTCGGCGTTCTGCAAGGACTGTACCGTCAAGTTCACGTACGACACACTCGATGACCCCCATCGCATCTGTCACTTTTGCCTCCTATTCTGACCACTACACCTCAGCGGTATTGACATTGGAACTTCTTCGCACTGCAATCCCTCGAATCACAGCAAGGAGGGAGCGATGTGGGGGTTTAAATAGCGAGCATGTCGGGGTGGTTAGGGTAATTAGCTGGCCACCCCTTGTATTGTCCATGAGTCGAGATGTGGGCGACTCGGTCAAGGGATGAGTGGAGGCAAGGGGGGGCGGCCGGATTGGTAGTGCGTTCAGTAAAAGTGGGCTGCGGGGCCAGTGTGGGCAATGGGGAACAGCTCGAGAACTTCTAGCACGGCGATAATTGTGTTGATCTCTTAAAACAGCGCCGAGATCGTTACCATGCCACCTACGATTGATAGTAATCATTACTAGCTTTTGCCTCGACCAACGTGAAGAAACAGGGGTCATGTTGACACAGGTCTAGCCGTGAAACGGTGCGCGGCTTGCATTCCCAGCACGGCCGACATACCAGCAGTTCCCACACTGTAACTATTGGGTTGTCATTTACGAGGATTGCGGTTCGAAGGATTGGACGAACTACACGAATATGCACACCAACCGCTGTCTCAAAAATCAATACATTCTTTATCTTGCATTCGTCAACTCGACACAGTTCAAAGTACATGGTTCAATGTTACACAATACCGGAAGCCCTATCCATTATCTATTTACATACTTAGTCTAAAATCGACCACCTCGTCCACCGCCGCGACCGCCGCCAAATCCACGGCCACCACCGCCACGTCCGCCGAAGCTGCTGCCTCCACGTCCACCTCCGAAGCTTCCGCCACGTCCGCCACCGAAGCCGCGGCCACCGCCACGTCCTCCGGCACCGCGTCCGCCACCTCGGCCTCCGCCGCGACCTCCACGGCCGCCCGCAGCACCACGCCCACCTCCAGAGCTCTTGCCTTGGTCGGTGAATCGAGAGAGGGGAAGCAATTTGTCGGGACTAATGTACACTTTGTCGCCAGCCTTGAAGGACTTGGGGGCGACACCGGCGTCCGGCTTCACCGTGAACATCACGTCGTTGATCGCGCCGAGGATTTCGTCGACTTTGCCAATCTTGGTCTTGTTCTCCAAGAACGCACCAGCGTTGAAGTACGGGACCTTGTCGCTCGTGGACTTGTACACCATTTCGTCTTCGCACGCATGGAGGAACACGCCAAGCTCTACAACGGTCGCAGGCGGGCCTTCGTCAAACCCGCCGCGTCCACCACCGCGTCCGCCGAAGCCACGGCCGCCACCTCGACCGCCGCTAAACCCACGGCCACCACCACGTCCACCACCTCGCGCACCTCCACGAAAAGACATGGGATACGTATAAGATTGAAAATGGGCGACCAACTCGAACAGCACTCGAAGTTGGCTGGTGGCCAATGGCCTCTCGAATATACACTATTTCCGTGGTTCGACATCAAATAGTGTAGTCACGACGACTCGATGTAGGATGTCATGTTGAGATCAATATTATTGTTTGACTTAAACTATGACATGTGGTGCATATGTTTTATATTGCCCGGTCACGACCAAGAAATTAAAAAGGTTCAATCGGTTTGATACAGTATTCAAGTTCTCAATACAATTATTTATTAAATACATCGTCGCGTTCTACTACAAAATGTTGAGTCTGCCAGGACGATGCCGAAATCTTGGGTGCAAAAACCAATAATGGCACACTTTGTAGCTTGCATTTATCGACCACCCCTGGAGGCGCCATGAAGAGACAGGTGCGGGTGGAGTTCGTGGTGCTGCTGCTGCTGCTTGTACAGAGCGTGCTTCTCCATGTACTGCCCGACCACGCGGTTCAAGGCATCGTTGCCGCAGTCGTCCTGTTGGTCTTTGCCGCACACACGTGGCGGGTGGAACTAACTCCTGGGTACATCTTGTTCATCCTAAACACCGCCAGTGGCTTGTCACAGTCTGCGGCGCCATTGTGGCTTGCTTGGGTCCAAGGGGTGTTGTTCGTTCTTGCGATTGCCGCCACCTTTCTCTTCCCGTTGCCGTTGTTTCCACGTCCGTCGTACCTGCATCCACTGGTAGGCTGCACCTCCATGCGCCTCCGCGGCGTCGACTGTCGTATCTTCTACCCCACCGACACCAAGGATGGCGGGACGGCCCTTCCTTACCTGCATCATGGCAAACACCTAGCCATCGGACTGCATACGTTCATCAACCTCCCGACATGGTTCTTCGCGTCCTTGTCCAACGGCACCTTATGGGCGCGGGTCGGCGTCCCGGTTGCAAAATCCTCCGGAGGGTGGCCAGTGCTGGTCTTCTCCCATGGTATGGGAGGCAGCTTGGAAATGTACTCAAGTATCACGCAATACGTCGCCAGCGAAGGTCACATCCTCTTCCTCTTTGAGTAGTGAAGTTCCATGGCTAGACTGGTTATGTCTAGGTTTTGTGGTCGTCGCCGTCAATCACGACGACGGGTCGGCCTCTGTGTCGAGGAATGCCGACGGTTCCACGGTACGACTAGTATCTCTCCTACCGTACTACTAGTACATACTAGTGCCAGGTTCTTACACTCGTGTTCGTGTACTACTACTACATAGTACATGTACTACCAGCGCCCCCCGCAGTCAGCACTGGATGACTGGGCGGGCGAAGGCTATTTTGTCCGAAACAACCAAGTGCACACTCGCGTGCACCACATTCAAACGGTGTTGGACGCCCTAGCCGACTTGCAAAACGACGACGTCGACGGCCTGCTCTACCACCAACTCGACCTGGATCGCATAGTCGCCGCCGGACATTCCTTTGGAGGCGCCACGGCTCTCTCAGCGTAAGACGAACGATCATCCATCTATTCAATTTTGACACATGAGACACAGTGTATTTGCACATGAGACACAGTGTATTTGCACATGAGATACAGTGTATTCATATCAGACACAGTGTATTTGCACATGAGATACAGTGTATTCATATCAGACACAGTGTATTTGCACATGAGACACAGTGTATTCATATTGAGTTTTTTGTTAGGGCCAAGCGCGACGCCCGGATCAAAGCCGTGGTGGGCCTCGACATGTGGATGGAACCCCTGGACGCGGACGTCGTAGCCGATGGGGTGCCGGCGGTGCCGGTGTGCAGCATCATCTCCCAACACTGGTTGAGTGAATGGGACTCTCATTTCGAGCTACTCAAGACCATGGCACGTCGATGTCGACATCCGTCGTCTGCGTTCTTTGCTTTGGCTCAAACCAGGCACAACAACTTTTGCGACTTGCCCCTCTTTTCTCCGGTACTCTTTAGCGATTGTGTGCGACGTGGTTTACTTCTTTATTTGTTTATTGGGGACGGATGGGGGATGTTGGTTGTAGTTTCTAAACCAGCATTTCAAAGCGGCGGGAGCGATCCGCCCTACGTATTTGCTGCAAATGGTGGGCCAACTCATGGGAGCGTATCTCCGGACCCACTTGGGGAACGCCCTTGATCAAGAATTTGCACATGTACGCAGTCGGTACCCTGAGATTCTGCCACTGGACGACGAAGCTGCGACGACGACGTCGTACCATACCTTTGATTAAGCATGTACAATGACTGTGATACACAAACAGCAACGTGCCAACACCACGATTGCCAGTTTGTGGTCGTTGTTGATATATCACACAAGTCGTGACCTTGCTGGTAGTGTCGAGTTGATGTTATACTAACGTTAATAGATTTTAGTTCACACTTGAAACGCGTTATGGAGTGTGGAAAGGTGGCCATATCCTAGCCGAATGTGATGGTCAATCAAATTCCCCTCTTAACGTTATGGATATACATCATCTATGACCACAAGCGCAGCTGGGGTTGTTGAACTGCAAACAGACATCTCGCATATGTGAAATTAGACATATCATACATGTGACATAAAGTTGAACCTAAACCTAGCGAACACAGCATTCTTCCGGATGCTTGGTACTCCATTTTAAGGATGCTGCATCTTGAAGCGTCGCCGACCAAGTCGTGGCAACGTAGGCAGGACATTGAACGGGCGACTAACGAACGACAGGCAGCAGATGATCAACTCAAGGAGGTGTACGATCGATTGTGTGAAATGCTTCAAGTGCGCAAAAAGACAGCGGCGGCATGTGACCACGGTACAGTTGGGATTGTGGTTCCTGCACGATGTGTGGTGGACTGAGTGTACGCTGTCGCAACCAGACGATGGAGGATTCGAACGACAAGTTCGCGAACTCACTCAAGACGTGCTGGACGCTGGGGACCACTACAAGGCCAGTGCGTCTACCGAGTTGGAACTTGTTCGCGCCCAATGTACAGTGGCTTTCCACGACATGAATATCGCCAAGGGCATGAACCAGGATCTCAAAGTACGAATGACATCCTGTGTTTTGGCAATATGGTCGACTTACTTATGGTAGACGCAAGTGGAAGTGGTTGAAGAAAGGTTGCGTGAATACGACACCTCTGCCGCGTCCGACGACATGTACGAGAAAAAGCTACAAAAGTTGCACGACTTGCAACATCAAGCCAAGGACACCTCCGACACGATCCACCGAATGCGAGTTAGCTTGGGTTGTTGAGGAACGATTTTTTACATGTTGCATGTAGCGAACGTTGGAAGCAAAGCAGAAGACGTTGCAAGAGCAGGAACCAGCCATGGAGGTGGTAACGTCAAGAGAATGCGATTCTAAGGTGAATGCATACGATGGCAGGTGTGGAGGCAACTTGCAGCCGAGAAGGAACGCACGGATCAAACGTTAAAGCAAATCCAAGCACGTAGGTGGGACAACTATGGAGAAATGCTGCTTACATGTATGGTTGGTTATGTAGAACTGGCCAGTGTCCATCGTGATCAGACTGTACTGGCAAGGAAACATCAGTTGGCTGTGGAGAAAGCGGAGCGTACGATGCAATATACGCGCAACCAATGCGACTTGGCACGCAAAGATGTACGTACACGCTGATGGGTGTGGGGTGATGAAGACTCCTCGTGGTCATGGTACTGTAGCTATATCGCCAGCAGTATGCTGTGGAGAATGTGACCACCGCGATGAAGTCGTTGTCGTCGTGCGCAAGCCAGCTCAAGCTGCCAACGTTCCAAGCGACCCCTCAACTTGCACGGATACAGGACGACGTAGTCGTCGCCCCCCGGCAGGCCATTGCCAAACCAAACAAGAAGAAGACTAATCGAGTTAAGCGGTGACACATACTAAGGTTAAGGATGAGGTGTCTTATCCGTATCTGTCCTTGAAAGGAATTCTAGCCTGACAAAGTCATCAGTAGATAACATGTTTCTGTATGGAAGAGAGGACGTGGTCCAGTGCACGGTGGACTCGCCCGCAACTGGTTCACATCGTTCCAAGTCGATTCCGCCACACACATTGTAGTCAATATCCGGATACATTATTGTTTATACGTACAAAATATATAGGATAAATAATGCAAATATTAAATGAAGTTCTATGGACTATTAAATGAAAATCTATACTGTATAGATAACGAACGTTCGACAATCGAAAGATCGCAACTGTTCCATTTCCAGTCTTGTTTTCAATTGTAAAATGAAGGCAACCATGCTCATGCTCACGCTGTCAGCAGCGACGCTTGCGACGGCGGGGAGAATTCACGAAACCCGTGGCGATGTCAAGTTCGTGGACACGCTGTCTGCAATCCATTCGTATGAGAAGCAACATCCCAACGTTGCAGCGGTGCATGACGAAGTTCGGCGCGCGCTCATGGAAGAGTCATCATCGGGACCCGTTGAGTCAGACTTCAACAATGCACAAGAAAGGTACATTGAGCTGAAGAAGCTTCGTGTGCAGGTCGAGATGGCTACATCGCACTGCCAGGACGACGAATGCTATGCCCTGGAACAACAACGCCTGTTCGATTACTTGAAGAGAGCCGGCAAGTTCAAGGGAGAATTACCCCCTATCGGATCATATTCACGCAAACGAGCAAGTTTCCCACTGCCCGAGTTTCCATCTGCGGAAGAACCAGAGCTGGAGGCACCCGTGCAACGACCTCCGCCACGGTACATCAATCACCCCATCCATCCACATCGCATCGCTCATCTGTATTTCATTAGGTACACGGCGCCCCAAGATGGCATGACCTTCGACGACGATGACGACGACGATGACGGCAATGGCCTGGGGCTTGACCTAGAGGATGGGTATGTGTCCATGCAGTCCCATGGTTGCCAGCGATCTCATTCCTTTCGAACTAGGGACTTTGTCGATGAATTCGCGTACGACAAATCCAAGCAGGGAAAAGGAGGGTACTATCCATCCCAAAAGGAAATGGAGGAGCAAATTCGTCGGCAAGTTGCTGCGCATCTCATGGGACACAACGTTCAAGGCAAACTCCAAGGGGGGGTCCCAGAAGGCGCGACGAGACCGCCCGTCGTGTGTCTGCCGTTCACGTCCATCTGCGACCTCAACATCGTCGCAGGGATCATCTACACGATCCTCGTGGGGCTTGTCGTGTCCGTGCTCAGCCAAGCCAAGTCGTCTCGGGGGCCCAAAAAACCCAAAAAAAAGTGAATTTATAGCTAAAAACGTGATAAAATCGTCCTATTTTCGCTCTTGATCGAGCAAATTCACACGTTTAGCTCGCCCTTGGATGTCCAGCGATAGCTGGTTAAACTGCCACGGCGCGTCGGCCGTTTTGGCCCGCAGCGCTTGGACTTTCATCGTGCCTTCGCCTGCCATCACCCCAACCAGTAGCATGAGTCCTAGTACTACTACTAGTATACTACTAGTACCTTTGGGGCCAGCCACTTTGGACTCGAACGCGGCAAAATGCTCGGTGATGGAGCCGTGGTAAATGTTCTTGTTGGTTTGCTTGATGGGGGTGCCTAAAATCTCAGTGATCCTGGCCGCCGTGTTGATTCTGTCCAGCGCCAGCTATCCATCCATCCTGTCAATATATATATATATATTTGTGAAATAATATATGGATTTTGAATCACCTGGATGACGTAAGATGGACGGTTGCGGATGATACGCAACACCATGTAGGCTGCCACGCACCCCGCGGCAAAGAACCCAATGCCCTACATCGACGATAAAAATGAGTAAGCATGCAATTATGTATATATATAATATAATAATTAATATTAATATTGATATTGATAAAAATAGCTAAATTGAAACGCAAGTTGATTCGAATTTGGACCAACTCGCAGACAATCACCCGACCAATCAAAAACTAGAACTCTATTCAAGTAGCCAATCAAACTCCTGCAACCATTGAAGTACTACTATATGACTTCAAATCGTGTGAATGGCTTGCGAAATTTCACCGACACAAGTGCAGTATACGTACAAACAATCGACCGATATATGATTATTGTTCGGAGAGAATCAGCCCAATAATATATATCCAAGTGTTGCCAGAAAACACTGCAAAACATCCCCACAACTCTGACGGATACACTCATTACATACGGGCAAGACTAGGTTAGACCCGAGTTCCTTGAGTTCCCCTTGTCGTTGGGCCTTGATCTCGGCTTCTTCTTCGGGGGTTTTGGGGGCCCGTGGGTTGTCCACGAGCAGCGACAGTCGCTCGTTCGATTGAATGAGATCAAACGTCGTAAACACGTGCTTGCCATGCTCGTCCTTGACATGCACGAGGGCTACGTACTCGATGGTGGCGGTGCCTCTATAACAAGGTTTATCGTTCAGAAGAGGTTGTCTTTATAACAAGGGGGACGCACTTGACACCGCCCAGCACAATCGTGCCATGCACTTCCGTCGCGTCGTCGGCCGCGATAGGGTCAACCAACTTTTGAATGTCCGTCGGCAGCCCCGTGAGGTCGATCACGGCCTTGTTGCGCGTAGCAAAGTACTTGGCCTGCGAGAAGATGTCGTTTTCCTAGCGTGGTTTGTAGGCATATCAACCTGGACAGACGACAACCCATGGAGTGGTGTACTACTGTACCAACGAGTGATCTTCGATGTAGTTCTTGTACCCCGCGGCGCCCATCAACACGGCCGTCGCCGCAGCCACATAGATCGCAATGTCGCGGACGTGAGGGTCCATCGCTGACGACGACGCTTCACCTGTTGCAATCGCGGGTTGAGTTGTGGCGGCTGTCAATGGCGCCGTTTTTGACTTGCCAGGCGATCGAGGCTTCTTCTTCTTCACATCAATCTGTTTCTTGGGCGCAATGGACTGTGTCTTGGACGCTTGTAGTGCTGCTGCATCGGGCGCTTTGCCACTAAAATATCGCGACGGAGCCGCTAGCTTTCGAAGTTCCGGTGCCGACGTCGATGGCTTGATGAGACGCCGCCACATATTGGAAAGTTGGTCCCAATCAAATGGACCAATCAGAACACTATATAACGTCAAATAGTGTAATTGTATTTTAAATTTAATTAAAATGTCTCTTGAAGCTGACACCTCGTCCAAAGCTCATAATAAAATGTTTTGTTTTTTAAACCTAATTGCATTCCCAGCCAGTCGTTTTTGTTGGCGGGGTTACATCATTCTCACTTTCGAAATTGAGTTGTCACCATCAAGTAGTTTCCGCCGCCGCTGTCCGTTGGACCTCCATTCTCACGTCAGGAACTTTGCAGATCCTTCTGTTCCTTAGTTCTGTTGCAAGCTTGGAAAAGAAAAGCTGGACTCCCATGGGTTGCCTCGTTCTGAGATGACTTCGGAGTTCTTTGGGGTTGATGAGAGTGGAGGGTTTGCCTCTTCTGTGCGATCCCCTCCTAGATCAGCCCCACACAACTCATATTGACTCGATTGTTGGTAGTGTTGTGTATTCGTGTAGCACGATATACTGCGATATGAACGACGTCCTCGAGGTTCCATATCATTATCGATCGTGCTTATAGTGACGCGAACTCTCAAAAGCACATATTAGATGTTTCTCATGATCTAACGTGCCGTCGATGTGTTCACATTACAATGTAACGTTAGTACTCACACAAGCTGCACATACATATCTGCAAATATCCTTGGGTAGAAACCTAGACGCCGACATGTATTGGGGTGTTGAGTTCACCGTCAATAAGCAATGAATGCACAGGTATGGGAATGCAATGTGAACTCACAGCGGTACATCGTCTGACGCCATGTTCAATCAAGCCCCGATAGGATCTACCAAGCAAGTAGTACTAGTAGTACTACTATAGTAGGGCTATAATGTTGATGAAGTCCTTTGTTGTATTTTAGCCAATCAGATGCACAAAAATCGAAATCAGAATTGTATTTCAGCCAATTAGGTATGGTCTTGGATTCGATAGAACGTTGGTTACCGTTATGAAGTTTGGCAAGATCCAATTCCAACCGTCGCACAACATATGAACGTAAGGCTGGCTGGTCATGGCTCTGTGCATGAACTGTCTTGACTGTGGCCACGATAGAAACCGCGTGAGATGCTGCAAGAAGTCCTCCCCAAGGCAGGACTCGTGTACTCGGAGCGCGGCAACCTCAGCGAAGTGCTGTGCAAACCCAAACTGATGCCGATCAAGTCGCTGTCCCTGGTGCAGATTGAAGAAATCGAGAAGCAAGCGCGAAAGAAGGACGCGACCCCTTCGTCTTGCCACGACTAGTAGACTACCTACTTCTACTTATACCAAAGTCGTCATAACAGCGTACGGTCCTTGTTCAAGAGTTCCTCAAACCACATCAACAAACTTTCGTAGTACAATCCCTGTTAAACGATGTGATATCTAGAATCCACTGGGTACTAACTCCTACTAGTACTACGTAGTAGTAGTTACTACCATGTGAGTGAACTACATTCCACCACCAAACATGCTCATGAGTGAGCTCAACGCCGACTGTGGCGGCTGGATGTTGTAGTACTTTTGGCCAATGATTTGCAAAAACTATCCGACATTTCATCAATATATATATATATATATACAAATATATCATGATGGATATATCGACTTACATTGCGGAACGACAGGTCGCGAGACAAAGCATACGCGTACCGCTCCTGCAGCAGCTGGAACAATGGCAACGCATCGCGCTGCTGTCAAGATGAGTTTTCAGTTCATTTTGCACTTTTAATATAAATATGAAGAAATACAAAAATATATATACCTCCAAAGTACGCAACAGAAACGTTGTAAAGTTGACCAACGGCGTGTCCAGTGGCTTTTTGGCCAAAAATGCCGCCAGCACTTCGTTCGCGTCCCGCAAGTTCTCCAATGCCGCCAGCCTTCGCATCGATCATGAGAAGATGGTACCCACCATATGAGAGTAGACACGTACTGAAGTACCGCACGAACGACAAACAAGTCGGCTTCGCTCGCGTACCCTTCGTTGGCATGTTGCACCAACACGGCGGCAAATTCCAGCGGACTCTCTGCGTGCAGGTAGTGGTTGTTCGCGTTCGTAAAGTCCTTCTCGTGGGTGTACACACGAGCGAGCCACAGCTGCAGCTCGGGGTCGCCGCGCTGGCGAGTGCCGATCGTCTTGCTCCACTTGACCGCGTTTTTGAGAAACTCGGCTTCTTCCTTTGGACACGCGTTGTGGAACGCATCCGAGATCGCCTTAATGCGACTCTTGTTGCCGTCATCGACGGGAAACTTGTTCGCGACGTACAAGTCCAGCATCAAGCACCCCATTTCCCGAGACGCCGTCCACTGATCGTGGTTCGCAAGTTGCACCGCGGCGGTGTGCGCGAGGTCAATGGCTCGCAAATGATCTCCCGCGGCAGCATATCGACTGTACAACGTCTTGTACATCTGCAGGGCTCCATAGTAGTCGCCCTGCTTCAAGCGTTCCTCCAGCTTGTCCGCTACGCTCGCCGCGCCGCGCGTGCTCTTGATTGGGCGCACCATGGTTCCCTGTTGTCAAAGCCACAGGAGACTTAATAATCCGGAAACTGACATCCGGATCAATGGAACCCGATTTTAATTAAGAAAATATACAAGTCGTTATATTATTAATAATACATCAGAAGTACTACAAATGGTTTTGCACCTTGAAAATAGAGACATTTCGATACTAATTTGAGCTAAAAGTGTGCAGTACGAATGGTCAAATCCAAAATGCCTCGGCTTAATAACAACGCCCCCGTACACATGTACTGTACAGCCTCTATAGTGGCCACACAATCAACGGGCACTCGCCGGGGTGTTGGCGACACCAGTGCGGCTGAATCAGGTCAGATCCGGACCCGCTCTCGACCACGCGGTACGTGGCGATGGTCATCCGGGCCATCGCCTTATCCCACCGCGTCGTCGGGTTGGTCCACGCGCGCTCGGCCAACGCGGCGGCTCGGGGCCAGATGCGGACGTCCATGGATGCCTCCCCCGACACTTCGGTCCACAGCACCAACTCTCCCCCCAATGCCAGCGGCATCAGGTCCTCCGTGATGTTGGGGTTGAGCACCTGCTCGTAGATGACTTGCCACGTCTTGTATGGCGCACACCACCCGTTGTCTTTGCGGTCGATGCCGTTGTGGCCGCAGTCTAGGTAGTGCCGATCCTGGAACGACGCCACGTACTGGTAGCCTGCGTCCGCCATGTGCCGGGGCTCGTTGCCATTTTGAATCCCTGCCCAGGTGTGCACGATGATCTTGTCTTTGGGGAGGTACTTGGAGTACAGCGAGGACGTCAACTCACTCGACCATAGCATCACTTTACGCGATGGCGCGTGCTTCCACAGGTTCGTTTGGACGCGTTCTTGAAACTTGGCAGAAATTTCAAAGTACTCAGCGTCGTCCGTCGTGTTGGCCACTGCGTCCGACACGACAGGGGACCGTTTCCAGCACTTGGTGAACACTTCGTCGCCCCCCATGTGCAGCACGTCTGACTCGAACATGTCAGCCATTTCTACCCACACCTTGTCCAGCAGGCCGTACACGTGTTCGTTCATCGGGTTGAGCTGTCCGCACGGCGCCTCGTAGCACTCGTTGTAGGCCAATGGGTTGTTGGCCCAGCACAGCGTGAGCTCCCCCACGTCGTAGTCGGGGCCCCACTGCCACCCGGCGCCGGCGTGCGCGGGCGCGTCCACCTCGGGGATCACTTGTACCCCGTGGGTCTTGGCATATGCGACAATATCCCGCACGTTGGCTTGGCTGTACGCCATGTCGCTCTGGTAGTTGCCGTACAAGTTGAACTTGGGCTCAAACTTGATCTCGATCGGGAACGACGACGAGTCGGTGATGTGCCAGTGGAACATGTTGAGTTTGTGCATGCCCATGGTCCGCACCAGTCGCTTTATGGCCGCCATCGAGTGAAAGTTGCGCGCCGTGTCCAGCATCACGCCTCGGTACTTGTACGCGGGCTTGTCCTGGATCGTCACAGCCTTGACCATGCGGAAGCTCCTGGACACGTCGCACCAGTCCACCAGCTGCACCACACTCGCAAGACCGTGGCGGTACCCGAACGCGGTCTTGGCCGTGATCGTCACCGTCGTCGCTGCGATCGACACCTCGTACGACTCGTCCGTGTCCAGACCTAGCGCCGTGCTGGCCGACGCGATGGTGCCCACCACGTTGACGCTGGCGCCCTTGTCCTGGACGCCACCTACCGCCAGCTTGAGCTTGGCGGCCATGTGCTCGTTGAACGCGGCCTGCATGGCCTTGACTAAGGCGCTGTCGGACGTCGTCACATGGTGCGAGAACGACGTCACGTCCACGGCCACCGTTTCCCCCGGCTTGCTCGCGATCGCGATGGACTGCGGCATTGGCAACATGCTGCCGTTGCCACACGTCATCTCGCACACCCGCAGACTCATGAGTCCGTCCCCCATCGTCGGCACCCCCGACAGCACCTCGGCCTTGGTCAAGTTCTGGTACACGCACTGATTCTCCGTGCACGCGTACTTGAACACGGGCAGCTTCAAAATGGCCACATTTGCCGCCAATTCGTCATCTTTATGATGAGGTGGTGACGAGTGCTGTGATGATGAGGTGGTGACGATGACGAGTGCTGTGATACCACCGATCACGAGGAAGATCACTAGATACACCAGGTGGCAAATGCGGCGGCCCTACAGTCTACGAGTTGAGATTCGAATGCTGGAGACCCCAAGGCACTGTGCAGTACCTTGCGGAACTTTGTGCCGCCCGGTGACAGGATGGGCGAATTCTGGGGTTCGTCCACCCACACAGTCTCCTTGCGCCCGCCAGCGGTACGGTCAGTCGTGGTGGTCATGAAGCCCAGGGATGGTTCTTCCTCTGGCATGACCGATCTTTAGCAAAATGCAGTTGTGCCAAGGGTGGCGTGTGGATAAAAAGTACTGTCCTACTTAGTGTCTGTCCTACACTGTATTTCTCACACATTGAGATTGTTGTGAAAAACGCAATGAGTTTCAATAAAACGTGTTTTGACGTGGGACAGGACCAGGTTGAAGTGACAAAACACGGCCAGGACAGTACAACGCGTGTGGAGTTAGGTGCCATTTTGTTGTTCGGTTGGCGCCACCTTGTCAAAGGTAGTCGCCACTCCACGGCGACTGAACAGGCTGAGCCTTGGACGCCGACTTGAAATATCGTAGCTACGGTGCAAAATCCACATATGGTAAACCAATCAGTTTATGAAAAAACTCGACCAAATGTTTCACCCCACAACTTCATCCAATTTCATCCAATTCAACAATTATATTATACTAACCATAGTATCCAAGGTTGTATTAATATTAAATGTTCTCCCGTAAGTATTACTACAGTAGTACGTACAAACAGTAAGTTAGGTACTCCAGTATAATTGTTGAATCAAAGCGTGGAGACATTGGGATGACATGGGATGAAATTGGATGAAGTTGTGGGGTGAAACCTAAAGTAGTGACCAAGACTTACGTTGGCCCTGAGCGCCCGGGAGACCGTCTGCGCAAGCGCGGCCACACGAGAGTCCGGATCTAACTTCTCACTTCACCGAATGATCTATCTTTTCTTCTTGTCGGGCAGCGGCAGGTAGGCCGTAGGCAGTGACGAGCAGGGTATGGGAATTTTTTTTTAGCAATTTTCCGGAGTAAAAACAATTCACTATTGTATTGCAACGCATGGCCAATACAATTATTGTATTGCATGCTGCATTTAAATATTTAATTGTCTAATTGTCAATTATTTAAATGCACAATTATATTTATATATAAATGATAAGATAAAATATTGTTGGCTCAAATAAAATTATTTTGGATCTCGCGCAATCAATTATTGTAATTGTCCAGAGCTTTGCAATAAATTATTTTCTGTATTTAATTGTCATTAACCAGAAAAAGCAAGGTGAAATAGGCAATTTTGTATGCACCTTGCGAATTCCATAAATACTTCTGAAATTGTATAGTTTCAATTAGATATATCTTCAAGTTTGTATTGATGATTTTTATTTTTCATGTGTCTGTCTCTTTTTGGAATTCGCAAGGCAGGTCACCTTGCGAATTCAAAATTGTCCAATTTTGTCCAATGAGATGCCGTGAAATCACGAAAATCGCTGCGTAGATTCATCACGCCGTGTTGCGATATATTCTACTCCTGTGATGACGGTTGATGCAAGGAGCCTTGAGATAATTGTGTAGGCTGTGTATGAGAGCAAGATCATGTGATGTGGTATTTAGGACTCGGTCAATTCTAACAGGTCTCGTTTCACCACTTGCCTACTAACCCAATGAAATTGGCCATCCCTCATTTCACCATCCAGCCCGTGTCGGTGCCGTACACCTCCCTGCCAGTGTGATCACGTGGTTGCGCGGGTGGTGACGCAAGAGGTCTTGGTAGCACCCATCGCAAACGCAAAGTGCTAAAGCCGCCACTTCAGCACTTGCGATGGGTGCTACCAAGACCTCTTGCGACACCGCGTTGGCCCACCAGAGCCATCACGACATTGCGACCCAACCGAGCGCACAACATAATGTTAGCTGTAAGGGGAGAACCACTAAGGGGAGAACCACATTGGACATAGTCGGAGTGCACTCATCAGTGCACAATTCTCTGGAGCAGCATCACTGTAACGTCTTCTGTCAGTGTTATAGCCAATCGTGTGTAAGAAATAAGGTGTGATGGATTCTGCTTGGATATTAAAAAGGAGCAAGGTGGCATTAACAAGTCAATTATTTTTCCCCATACCTTGGTGACGAGGCCTGTCTAGTTTTTGTTGTTTCGTCGCCATTTCTCGTACAAAACGTTTTTGGGGTTTCGGATATGAGCCACATACAAAAATCAAGATATACCTCAGCGGCCACCCCTATGGCCAAATATCCATGCGCCCATGTAAAATACCACTACGTTAAATATCTATTTCTGGACCAATTCAACACCAAATTTGAATCTGAGACGTAGAATTTCTTCACCACATTGAGATAAGTCGATTCTACGTTTCAATTTGCTGAAATTTTGAGTAATGAATACGAAATAGAAGTCAGAAAATTTTGTGAAAAAGTTGGTAGTTTATGGGTGACGTGCTTCATACCACGTTCTATTTAATGTGCTAATAATTACCAGTAATACCGGTAGTATATACTACTCCGGAGTACTGCATACTAGTAGTATTATTATTCCCTATATACTAGTATGTATTATTTATTGAATACTAGTATGTAGTAAATTTCTTTAGCATCTCGTTTTTGACCTCGTATTCCATTTCTTACATCTACTACTAGTATCTCAATGCTTCTGATTGGTGGAAAATGGTGACCGAGGGAAGGCAAATTGCGCACGGTGACATCTATTAATACTACTTTTATCTCAAGCATTCACTTTGGCCTTTTTTAGCCTCCTCACTTTTACGTACTTTTCCCTCCTCAAGCTTGAGCCACTTAAGTGGTATGGCCCACTAGGATAGCCCCGGTCTTCTACCCGAGTCTTCTCATCCACATTGTATCTGCCTTATTCCTTTCTTTTCTACCCATGTTGCCCTTTCCCTATTCTCGTCACCTCTCCATCACGCCTCTTTCCCCTCTACCCTTCTCCGTCCTTTAAACAGTATATATATACAGACTTTACATGGAATTAGTGCTCGATTATGTATGTTGTTCTTGGGGCACATTTGTTGATCACTACTTGAAAAATAGTACCACGACGGCTGTATCGTCGTGGATGACCACCTCGCCTCTTACTAGGGCGTAAATGCATCTCAGTTTTTAGCGATAGCTAACCACTGGCGATGCAGTTAACCCCAGGGAGCATTATATATACTCACCAGGGGTGGTTACAGGCCTACGGGCAAAAAAGTGTATTCGGATGGCATAATCCCTCGTTGACTGTGAAACAGGGTTAAAACAACAGTGGAACTGTTTAATACGAAACAAAAAAATACAACTGAAATATTAATATTCGAAAAATGAACTATCGGTTAAGGGCCTCCGTTATTTTACTGTTAACCCAAAATTCGACGAAACATAGAAATGTCGATGATTCATCGAAATCTGATCGTGTTTCAGTCGTGCTTTATCATTCAACGTGATTACTCGTTTTCATGCACATGGATTGGACATTTTTCGACATGTTTTGTCGTACAGTATTCAAAATGTCAATTCCATATGTAGTATTTACATAGCTTCATATACAGTAAATAAATAATGTGCTTGGGTGCCAGCGAAATCGCCCGCCAGATGTTAGAGAAAGGGCATAACGCTTGTACTGTACTACGAAGTAGTATAACATGACCGACCATTGATAAGCCGATATCCCGACAGAGGGGATAGATATTCAATACAACCGGATAAACGGTAGTTATCCGGAACAATTCCGACGGGTAAGCAGCTACAGTAAGTAGTACTAGTACTAGTATTAATACATTCTGCCAGTGGTTTTAGCAGGTTTAGCGATTGGAACTAGTTATAATGTTACTTGGAAGATACCGTTAACCGAGAGTTCATTTTTCGAATATTAATATTTCACTTGTATTTTTTTGTTTCGTACTAAGTTAGGTAATAACGACGGTATTACTATAATGTTACTTGGAAGATACCGTTAACCGAGAGTTCATTTTTCGAATATTAATATTTCACTTGTATTTTTTTGTTTCGTACTACTACGTAGTAAACAGTTCCACTCCCTCAGGTTAACTGCATCGCCAGTGGTTAGATCCCTAACAACTAAGATGCAAGAGACGAGGTGGTCAGAGTATACTAAAATTGAGGTACATACCCGAAAGTATTTAACATCAATTTTGGAACAATTAACTGTAAGCAGGGAATTGTACTTTCTCAAATTCTATAGTTGTGCAGTCAGCTGGTTGGTGACACTTCCGTTCTATATAGCCATCTGTATCCCCAAACCACTTCTACAGTGGTACGTACAAGCTATTAGTAGTAGTAGTACTACCAATGAAAAGTAATACTAATAATACTGTAAGTAGTATTTACTACTTACAGTAAGTAACCATACCAGATCCCTTTGGTGTTTTCAGCTGTTTGATTGAAGTTTATTGTACACTTCTCATGGACAGTATTCTCTCAGCACTGTTGGCTTAGTGACATGATGTTTTCTGTCTAACGTCCATGATTGCTGACCCAATCACGGCCGAGCAGGAAAATTAGCGTAGGTTCTCACCAACTCTTGCCCGGTTTTCTGCCTGTAAGACTACCGGTAGTTTGTTGTCCACAATTTCACTTTTGGTTTTCCCATCTTGTGCCCGAGTGATCTTGTCCTGCGCCGGCCACTTCGCCCTTAGTGCTGCTACCTAACGAATCCTATCCCTCACGCTTCCACCCATTTTCTGCATCGTGACGATTGTGTACGGTAAGGAAATAGTGCAATTTTCTCATACTATGTTCCAACTGGGAGACTTCCAAAACCGTCGCAAACTTCTTTTGAACCCACTGTGGTACAAAAATTATCCGTACTGTGAGTGACTATTATTGAGCCGATGCTGAAAAGCTTCGACCAAAACCGACTCAAATTGGTCAGCCATTGAAAAATGCATAGCTGTGATTGGATATAATAGGCCAATCAAAACCTTGTACAGCATTGTTGACCAGTTGTGTCGAAGTAACTTGACGATGTCCCCCAACAAGAGCATGGCAAAGGATGAACAGACCCGAGGTCCACGTGATTTTCTTGCCGTCGACGCACACCGG